TGAGGACAGCTTCACAGTGCAGCGCTCAACCACCTGTGCCACCAGGGGAGGGCCGGGAGTATATCTTTAAAATAACAAAATACGTTCTGTTGACAAAGAACTGTTATTTTTAAATAATAAACTTGTGAAGTTGGGATTAAAAAAGGAATTGTTAAAAAAAATTCACTCCCAGCCAGAGCAATGGTATAATAAAAAGAAATAAAAGGCAAAAAATTAGAAAGGAAGAAGTAAATGAACTCTATCAATGACTTGGTATTATATATATAAAACCCTAAACACCCCACAAAAAGTGTTAGAACTAACAAATTACTTCAGTAAAGTTGCAGGATACAAAATCAACAAACAAAAACAGCAGCATTTGTATACACTAATGATGAATGATCTAAAAGAGAAATTAAGAAAACAACTCATTTACAATTGCATCAAAAGAATAAAGTACCTAGAAATAAATTCAGCCAAGGTGGTAAAATATCCCTACACTTTGAACTCATATGATACTGATGAAAGAGACTGGGACCTCACCGGTGGCGCAGAAGGTTTAGCACAGCGCTCTGAAGCTGTCCACAGCCTCTGCAGTGCAGGTTCGATTCCCGGTTGGCCAGGGAGATTCCCACATAGCACAGCAGACGTCTCCTGTCTCACCTGCTGCTCCCCTCAGTAGTGTTCTCAGTCAGTCTGTTTCTTCTGCTCCCCACTCTGTCTTTGGTGAATCCTCTCACCCTCCTGTGCCTCTGGCCTGTACCCCAGCTATTGTATAAATAAAAAAATAAATATTAAAAAAAAGGAGAGAGACTAAGGAAGATACAAATAAATGGAGAGATACCATGTTCAAGAATTTGAAGAATTAATATTATTAACATATACTTACTAGCCAAAGGAATTTACTGGTTCAATGCAACATCTGCCAAAATTCCAATAGTGCTTTATACAGAAATAGGATAAACAATAATAAAATTAGTATGGAATCTCAAGAATCCAAATAGCAAAAGCAATTTTTTGAAAGAACAGCTGGCAGTACCCTGCTTTATGATTTTAAACTAAATTGTAAAGCTATAGTAGTCAGAACAGTATGATAATGGCATATGTATCTGTGGAACCGAATAGAGAATTCAGAAATCTATGCATAAATGATTGATTAATTTATGACAAAGGAGTCAAGAATATACAATTGGGAAAAGCTAGTTTCATCAATAATTGATGATGAAAAAAATGGACAGCCACATGCAAAAAAATGAAATTAGGCTATCATCCACATCAAAAATTAATCTAAAATGGATTAAAGACTTGGATGTAAGCTATAAAATCAAAATACAATGAAGGAAAAAATACGTAAAAGAATTCTAAAAATTGGCTTCAATGATCTATGGGGGCCCAACTCCAAAAGTAAAGGAAACAAAAGCAAATACCAGCAAATGAGAGTATATCAAATTAAAAAGCTTCTGCAGAGTGACAAACTATCACTGAAATTGTAACAGGGTGGTCCCCAGGAAAGGGGGAGGTTCCAGGTTCCCTGCCCCACCCAAGGAAGGGTGGAGCTGAGCAGGAAGAGGAGAAGCAGCAGAAGAGAAGGAGGAAGGAGCAGGATGGAGCCAGAAGGAGACCTGGAGGAGGCGCATGGAGCCTAGAGACACGTAAAGAAACTGTGCTTGTCTTTTGGTCATGGACTGGGTGACACAGATGTGGGTAAGACCCGTGGGGAAGTGACAATGACAGCTTTTATCTTGATGTTGATTTTGCTCTTTTCCTTCCGGGCTTGTCCGGTTGTTTGTGACCCTTTTCTGTGGGTCCCCACTGGAAGATGCTTTAGACTTGTAGCAGGCCTTGGGGCCTTGTTCTGGGCCGATCCCATATGGATGGACTTTTACCCACGAGGGGACGGGTAACTTTGGGTGCTTCATTTAGAAACTAGACTCTTTGCCTTACCTGTATTGTTTCCTAGTTTTATTAAAGTTCCTTCCCATTAAAGTCTCCTATGTTTTGTGTTGATGCGGCGGATGGCAGAACCCATTTAGAATAGGCAGGTTTGCGGGGTTTGGGCTGCCCCTCTCCCTGTCCTATAACAGATTTGGCGTCCAACGTGATTTAGGACAGAGCCATCCGTGGTTAGTCAGCCCTCTCCCTGTCCTATAACAAAATGACAAGACATCCTACTGCATGGCAGAAAATGTTTTCACATTTATATCCCACAGTAGGCCAGTATCCAAGAACCCAGAACTCATACAACTCAACAAATAGAGAATAAATAACACAATTTTAAAAATGGGCAGGGGAGTTAAATAAACACTTCTTCAAATAACACATACACATGGCCAACAGGCACATGAACCCATAGATTTCATCCTCTCTTCCTTTGCACACCGAACAGGAATATTTTTAACTTGCCCTAAACTTCCTAGTTGAAAATAGAGATAGCCAGCCTCTTGGCATAGTACTACCAAGGGAAACAATGTCTACCAACTAGCTTGTAAATTGCATTTAATCAAAAGTTAACAGATTCTACTACATATTTGTATTCCAACTCTTCATACAATTTGTACCCCTCACTGCAGTGAATGATCCTATGTTCTTGTTGCCTCTCAGCGTGGCAGCATTGGGAGCGACTGGACAGAGGAAAGATAACTCAAAGTCCAAGTAGTGAGAGCGACCTAGAGGGGATCACATTTCTGGAGATGCAATTCCTCCCCCTCCCACCTTCTGCCTCCAGTCTCATATTTATTTTGCATCAGATTAAGGGAAGGTGGGCAAGTATCTGGAACAATGTGTGTGGTGGGGATGTGTATTGAAGTTGCATAATAGTCTGGCACAAGCTAGGGGTGAGTGAATAGGGGCTGTTATTTGGGGGACTCCACTGTAGCTGCTGATCAAAGCATCCTATCTCTAGTCCCTGTTTACACTTAACTTCTTGTCAAGGTGGTCTAGCTGGTTATGCTAATTTGGCCATAATGTCTGCCTGCTGTTTTCAGCAGATATCCTCATACCAAGACTTTTGTCCTGGTGAGAGGCCCCCTGCCTGTCTCTACATATTAGCTTGACCAGCAGCAACTTTGGGTACCAAACAAACACCTGAGAACAAGGGGAGCTGGGGAATCCACATGTTCTGAAGGAATATGATATACCACAACAATGTGCTAGCTCTTTCTAGATCTATAAGGCAAGTTAGTCTCACAGCAGAGTAAAGCTGTGTATGTTGCAAATTTCAAGAACTACCATCATTTTATCATCAATCTGCTAGGGGGAATGGTGGCAAAAAGTGAAAGGGGGGAATTGCTAGGGGGAAAAGGATGTCCTAAAGCTAATTCCATACAGGCTATGTGGACTCTACCCCTACCCCAGGCCAAAGCCAAAGACACTGGGAACTCCAAATCCCATCACCACCAAAGGGAAGGTGGCTGGGACCTGAGGGTGGGGTTAAACAGCCAGGTTGATATAAAGCCAGACACGTGGGCTTGGGGGGGGGGTTCCCCCATTTTGGCTCTCCGCCAGCTAGCAGCTTCCGGCCAGCTCTGAGAGTGACTTTGGGTTTCCAGGTCGGCAGATCGGGTAGGAAGCATTAAAGACTTTATTTCCCTATTTTCTCCCTGAGTTGTACATTTTCTTTATTTCCTTTTCCCTTGTAAATAAACCTTTTATTAACCTTTTGTATGTGTCTGCAGTGGAGTATTCATAAGTCCCTTTTAAGCTCGCGGGTGAGGACCCACAGCCAGGCAACCCGTTCAATATCGGGATTGCCCTATAACAAAACCTTTGTTCTTTTCTGTCTAAGCTCCTGAAAATATCTAGCAATGTTGAATTAGAATTCAATTGGGGGCCGCTCCGGTGATGCAGCGGGTTGAGCACAGCACCGTGAAGCTGTCCACAGCCTCTGTAGAGCCGGTTCAATTCCTAGCTGGCAAGGGAGATTCCCACATGGCTTGGCAGACCTCTCCTAGCCAGCTGCTCCCCTCAGCAGTGTATTTTAGTCCTTCTGCCTGCTCTGCTCCCTGATATGTCTCTGGTGAATTCTCTCACCCTCCTGTGCCTCTGGCCTGTACCCCAGTGCTTGTATAAATAAATAAATAAATCTTTAAAAAAAAATTAAAAAAAGAATTCAATTGGACTCCTTCACCTCCATTGTAAAGGGAATTAACTATACTTTTCTAGAGAAAGACAAGATCTTGAAATTTATCCATTTTACAAAATAGCCCTTTAATTTTTTCCTCCATTTTAAAAAGTTCAACTTTAATACTACATTTTCAAAATAAGCTGCAAAGATACAGTCAAAACACAATATGATTTTTAAAGTATCTAAACAATTTACAAAAAATTGAGGTTAGAGATTAAAAAGCAAAAAGAATGCTCTGTTAAAACTTTTATCTCAAATTGAAATCTTTAACAATTGGCCTTAACAAACTCAGTAATACTGTTATTAATAAACTGAATGAGGAAACATTCTCCAGGACTTTGGTTTACAACTACACTTTAAGTACAACTTGTTTCAGTGATGCTTTGTTTTATCTAATATACTACTTTTCCAAGTATTTTATAAATCAGAAGAAATATGTAGAGCAAACTCCAGTTCATTTATCTATTGACACATTCAAGTATATTTATATGCACAGTATCATGCTATTAGTTATGAGAAAATAAATATATATATTTAAAATATAAAGAAAAGGCAAAAAGATAAAAATTTAAGTCAAATGATACAAAATGTGATTAAGTATCACTTTAAGGACACGGTATGCCTTTAGAATAAAAAGATCTTATCATCTGCATTGCATTTTACTATTTAAACTAGTTGCAATTAGGTTTGACTTAAATATCAGAGATCCAATTTAGGTGACCTAAGGCAAAAGCACTCCATTTTTTAAACATGTGACTTTCAAGGGCATAATAGAAAATGTCTTCATTCCTTTTAACAAGAAGAACAAGAAGCACAGAGGATCACATGTGGGAGGTTTTAATGGGCCCTACCTGGAAGGCGCACAGATAACCTTCATATTCCACTGGTTAAATTCAGTAGCATGAGCACTTTTAACTGCAAAGGAAACTGGAAATGGTTTATTCTCAGTTGAAAAAGAAGAAGATTAGGAAGAATAATGTAAAATATATATAAAAATTAAATTAAATTAAAAAAGAAAAAGAAGAGGGCATGATTTGGGCAAACACTTAGAAGTTTATCACTTTTTCTCAGAGATTTTTTTTGTGGTCATTAAATTTTTTGTGGAATTAAAATATGGGTACTTCAACAAGCCCTGATTCATGGTAAGAGCTCAATAAATTTCTGCTTTAATTTTCAATTATTTCCCCAAATATAAATTATTGCCCTTTAACTAGGTAAAAATCTTATTAAAAGCATCTTAAATAAATAAAAGTAGTATTTATCCTATTTCCTTATGCCTCCCCTGAATATAGTACTCTAATCTATAGTGGCTAATTGAAAAGATCTTGTGATCTAAATATTAATTTAACTTTGCATGAAATTTCTTCACTGCCATTGAATATATTATCATCCAATTATATGATTAACTACTCTAAACATGAAAAATATCTCATATTGCAGTTACATATACATTTTATGATACAATGGGAATAAACAGATTAAACATTGTATTTTTAACAAACACAACAGGAGTATAATTCATTTTCCACTCTCTGATATTTCTATATCAGAATCTAGAATAAGGGGCCTTCATGGTGGCCTAGGATTTAGGTATCAGCCCTATCACCTATGTGGCCTGAGGTTGATCCCCAGCTAGGGAGCTAACCCACATGGCAAAGCAGACCTCTCCTATTTCGCCCACTACTACCCTCAGCAGTGTATTTCAGTAGATCTGCCTGTTCTGCTCTCCTCTCTGTCTCTGGTGAATCCTCTCACCCACCTCTGGCCTATTCCCCAGTTCTTCAATGCAAAAACAAAATATAAAAAAATGTAAAAAAAAAAAAAAGAATCTAGAAAAAAAAAAGCCAGAACTTTTTGAGTGAGACAAGATTGCGCAAAGGGAATCCATGAGAAATTTTTCCCTATTAAACTGAATTTGCAATTGATAATAGCAAACTTAAAAAGCTCCATTTACTTAAATGTTTATCTTGTTAACTATTACTGTCCTTGGAGCTAGTGATTAAACAATTCTTCCAGGCAGCAGTTCAATATGGAAATTAGTGCAACTAACTATAACTTTTTTATCCTAGTAAAAAGTACACGATTATAAAAGTTTTTACATTGTACTCTGAAATCACAAACCATTAACTGTCTCAGCATGCTACTAAGTGGTGCATTCTAATTCAGAATGTGGCTCTCTAATGAGTTCTTAAATGAACTTAAATAAATTGAATGGCATCTAAGGGTATTTGTTTGGTAAACACAATATCTGAGGGATATTATTAAATATAAAAAAACATGTATAGCAATCACTAAATGAAGAAACAAAAAATGATTTTTTTATATTGAAATATAAGTGACATACAACATTATATCAGTTTCAGGCATACAACATAATGATCTGATATATGCATGGAATGTGAAATGGTCACCACAGTAAGTCTAGTTAACAACCATCACCATATAGTCATCTTTTTTTCTTGTGTTGAGGGTGTTTAATATCTCTCTTTTAGTACCTTTCAAATATGCAACCGAGTATTTTTAAATATAGTCACCATGTTATACATTATATATCCAGGACTCAGTTGTTTTAAAACTGGAAGTTTGTACCTTTTGGCCACCTTCACCCATTTTGTTTACACTGATCCCTGCCTTTTTCAACCACTAATGTGCAGAAATGAATTTTCTGAAGCTATGAAAACACAGCAAGAAATTTGAAATTGTAATGTTAAAGAATCAACCATGACATTTTTAAAAAGTAGTCTCACTATTCAACAAAATGGATAACATTTGATGTTGAGTAAAAGTAAAGAAAATCTGATTAAGATGACAATTTTTATCATCTGTCAATGCCTTTCATTCAAAGACCACCAGTAACACCTACAGTTGAACAAGTTAGGTTTGCTACCTGGTTTGATGAGAGAGAATATATACTATAGAGAAAAATAGGACTTTTTAAGCAATGGGATGTTAGAAAAGATTTAATATAGGACTTGGAATTTGGTTGGATGATTTTAGGGAGGTGCCCTGAATTGAGTTCTGTCAGAAGATAATTTATAACTAGCTGAGCTGGGTGTCTCAAGTTTTATTTATAGGAAATAGGATAGGTAGACTATAAAAGTGACAGTCACTCATATTAACTAGAAGGAGGAAAGTGTTTGCTGTCTTGTGGCTTCTGTAAGTGTTCATGTTTTGCTTGTGTTCAGACATGATTATGTGGGCTTATTTAATCACTGGGTACCCTTATCTGATGTTGGTGATTTGTGAAATTATTCTATGCTCAGCAAGATAACAACAACACTTAGCTGTGAGTGTCAGGTCACACTCACATGATATGGGGACACCAAATCCTGGCTGATAGTATCAGGCCTGCTTCCAAATGTTAGGCACTGCCATTCTTCTCAGTATTCACTTATGAGAACAATTAATTGCTTTTAACATAGTAAACATGCACAGGGTACTTGTTTTTCCTGAATTCGGTACGATGTCATTTGTATTGAAACCAATATTTCACAGAATAAACAATATGCCAGGAGTAGACGCAATATTAATTTTACCATGCTTAACGTTTTATTATAACTAATGATGTGATCTTAAAAAAAAGTGTGCATAACAAAAACAAGGCTGAAGTAAGAACGGATTTTTAAAATTTACTTCAGAGAATCAAGGTTTAGATAAAGTAGAAATTAAAAAAGTAAATAGGGTAGAAATAGTGAATGGCTAACAAGTATCAGCTTACTACAAAGTAGTATTAATTAACATTTTGTGTGCTTACAATGGGTCAAGTAATTGACATGGATTAACTCATTAACCTCTTGTAATAACATGAGATGGGGTCCAGAATTGTCCCTAGTTTACTGATGAGGAAAAAGATTGTATAATTTGCACAAGTCATGCAAGCTAATATATAACAGAAACACATCTATGCTATGGATCCATGTTTGTCTGACTTTGGCAAGCTTAGAGAACATTCCTTTTTGTCCCATCAGATTGAAAGCAGTCATTATTAGTCATATCATCATCATCACCATGACCAATACCATCAACATTTCTTATTTTCCTTAGAGTATTGTAAAAGTATCCCTACCCCCTACAAAAAGGAAATCACAAAAAGGTATTTTAGTGAATTAAAAAAAAAAAAAGAAAAAAAAGACACTTGTTTATTTGAGTAGTGTCTTAACCAAACACCTTATCCAAAAATTAGTGCTAGGTCCGAGATATCTTTACACAATTAAGCCTCAGTAATTTGAATTCCCACTTACATAAACACTGGTCAACACAAGGTATGTGCTTGTTCCTTTAGTACTTTAAATTAACATTTTGAACACTTTCAACTTTTTGGGTTCTGTAAAAGCACATTTTAAAGGTATTTTTGGCAGGTGCTTTGACCAGCTTCACTGAATCTATTCATTAGTACAAGGGAGCATTTTTCACTGGTTACAGACCAATCCTAAGGTAAAACTTACCAGGTAAACATTCCTGCTTATTTTTCATGGTACATTATTTGATTTATGGTTGAGTTGGCTTACTATACACAATAGTTTTGTTTGATAGATAAATTAAATAATAAATAAGGGCTATACAGATGGCTAGTAATATTAAGGACAATGTAGCACTGTGAAGTTCTAAATAAAGTGAATTACAAGTTGTACAGCTATATTGCAATTTTCATCACCATCATCATTAATGTCATCATTTTACTTTCATGTGGAATAAGTTTCTCCTAGAAAATGAATATGCACATATTTTATATTTAGTGACTATTTTGATTAGGCCCCTTAATTAGTCGAGGTTCTCCAAAGCAGAAGGAATAGAATGTGAATACATAAAGAGATTGAATTTAATAAATCAGCTTACCTGATTATAGAGGCTGTCAAGTCAAAATCTGTAGGGTGGACCAGCAGACTGGCAACTCAGGAGAGAGTCAATGCTTCATTTCAAGTCCAGAGGCCTTCTGCTGCAGAATTCCCTCTTCTCATGTGAAGGTCAGTCTTTTGATCAAGGCTTCAATTGATAGAATAAGATCCATTAAAGTTATGGTGAGAAATCGTTTTACTCAAGTAAAACCAATTTAAACATTAGTTTCATCCAAATATGCCCTCATAGAAACATCTAGAATAATGTTTCACCACATATCTGTTTGATATGGGTCAACATGGCCCAACCAAATTGACATGTAAAACTAGTCATCACACCCTTTCCTTAATTGTAATCCAGTTTAGTGTAATTTTAAAAATTGGACTGGAAAGACATATATGTGAGAGAAAGTTGGGTACAAGTCACTACCAGGAATGCTCACACCCCCCTCAATCACTCTAGCTATGCTGGATAAATACATTGGGTGCAATATATGCCACCTGCCTGTCTAACTTCCACCCAACCCTACAGCCTCTGTCCCTACTTGGAGGAGCCATCAATAATAGTACATCTTTGAGTATATTTTTAAAATGAAGGCAAACAAGAGTCCCATACTTCTCTCCTCTTCTCATCTTCCTCTCCTTTCTTTTGCTTCTCTCCTTTCCACTCTTCTTGGAGATTCCCCAGTGTGAAGACTACCCTCATTTTTCCTATGTCTTAGTGAGTAATAAACCTTAGAATTACTTGTGATCATAGGCTCTCCTAAGGGAGAGAATGCAGACAGTGGGGGAAGGGCAAAAACCTCTCCAAACTCCTAACATGATCACTTCTAGGCAGGTGAGTTAAAGGGTAAAATTTCTGGTTTCTTACTCAATGCACAAGTGTATTAATTCACATACTTTTGCAATGAAAAAACATTTAAAGATAAGGCTGTCTAATTAAATTTACTCAGATGAATCTAATATACACTGTGCATTTTTATGCCATGTATTTTACATATAGTGTTGCCAATGTCTTAAACAAAACAGATACATATTTTCACAGAACTTAAAAGTCTATGATGGGATGGCAGCTGTGTCATACAAAGTAGTCAGAGAGTCAGTCTCCTTCTATCTTGTGGTTTGTTGACCTTGAGGTCCCTAGAGAGCTCACTATCACTTTCAGAAATTCTAGTTAGTGGTCAAAAGGAAAGAAGGAAGAGGCAAAAGAAAAGGTACAAGTGGCAGAGAATTTTTCTGTTCACATCCCATCATCCAAGATATGAACACTACTATTTTGAAAAGAAACTGGGAGCCATCTTTTATAATCCACACAATGTTGTATCTGGTACTATAAGGAAGAAAATGGATGACACCAATTTAAACTTCAGTGTATTATACAGATATGTATGTGTATAAATGTATGCATACATGTATAATATACACATATTTAGAGGAAAAATTAGATTAGTCTGATTTATAGCTTATTAGTTAAACTTGTAACAATCCATCTGTTATTAGGATGCTATAATTCAACTCTGTCAGTTAGGATTTGCTTTATTATAAGGCATACAAGGTTTGTTGTAATTGATTATGAAAATTTTAAGCACTGGAAAATTTCTCTGATTCATCAAATAAACTGTGTGATTTATTCATTAATTAGTCATATAAAAAATCTCTTCATGGATTAGTATCAGCAATTGGCACAGGTGTGCTTATAACAAACCACACCAGCACTCTGAGGCATAAAACAACAATCATTTATTGCTCACATATCTGTGCTGGCTGGAGGTTGGCTGATTTAGTCAGAAATTGGCTCCAAGTTATGTTAGATTCAAGCCTTGCATGTCTTTCTTGGATCAGTGAGCATGCCTCCTGCCCTGCCTCTGACATTGCTTGCAAAGAGCACTGCCGGCCTAGCCTGGTGTCTCCAAAACAGCTGGTTGCTTTTGGTTTATGCCAATTAAAAAAAAAAAAAAAACAAAAAGGCCAACAACTCACAGAGAACTCTAACACTGGTGTCTCTGATACTACCTCCTGGTGAACCATGGTGAAGGCACCACTGACAAGTGTTAACCATCACTGTTGACAGGTGACCGACATTCTGCGTTTGACCATCATTGAGACCCATCCAGTCCACTGCTTCTAATCATCCAGCACCACTTCCCAGTGCTGTTGCCTCTGTTGCTGCCTGGTCTGATGTCTGGTGCTGTCAGTACAGCCTTCAGACTGTTGTGGGTTGCTGTAGTATCACCTCAGTGGCCCCACCTTTGAGAACCTCCAGCTGTCACTGTGAGTTAGACCCTGGTGCACAGCTAACTGCTGAGCCAGCAGCTACAGGTCCTCACTGACGGGGAAAGCACCTTCTTGCACAAGCGGCCTTTTGGATGGGACTACTGGACACTGTGGATACTATCTGGGGTGAAACAGCCAGCCACTTGTGGCCTTAGAAACTCTTTTTTTTCCCTACTCTCCTGTATATTAAATAAATCCCATTTCTTGTTCCCAGAGCCTGAGTGGTCTTGCAATTGTTAGCCCAGGGGTAAAAACCCACACCTGCCCCCAACCACAGACTTTTGGCACTGTGTTAGGCCTACCATACAATTTTTAAAAATCAACAAAAACCCCATTTTGTACAAATACTGATCTAGCTACATTTATATTATAAAAAAATACATAAAACCCATAGATACATAAAAATATGTGCTTGGTCCATTTCATGTGACAGGCACTATGATGTGGTTATATACATTAATATATGCTATTAATATAAAACACAAATTCCTAAGCATTGGAAGTTTACCAACATTTCTTTAGTATTTAAATATGTGAATAGATGAATTAAACCCTTCATTAAATTCTCAATACCAATTTGGTGGATTCTTTATTTTGTTAAACATAGTCAATATAGGCTTCAGTCTTGTAGACTGGCTTTATTAAAGTTAAGAATAATGATGGTCAACAGTAACTAAAGGATTTATGTATGCATGTTTAAATTCCACAGTAAATTAAGACTTTCCCTTTGTATCATGAGGGAAGTTTGTTAAAGCAGATTCTGAGGTCTTACTCCAAGAGAGAGTCTGGTGTTGTAAGCTCTAAATATTTAATAGAAATAGTATCATTCAATCTATATTATTAAAAAGCAGTTGGATAAAACACATAGTCTTAGGACACACTTCGAGAAACATTGGTTTTGGGTTTAGAAACTCAAGAGAAAGAAATTAAGCAGTAGGAAACAGTGGACAAAATAGTGCATAATTCTTGACTTTATTTTTCTACTAAGTACTTTGAACATAAAATTAAAAATGTACCAAGTGAATATGTTTAAGGCAGATTTGAACCAGGTAATTAAGATGCAGATTATTTTTAATTTCATTAGCATTTGAAGTAATTCTGTGGATATTGAGTAGAATTTTCTAATTGGAAAAGTCATGATATATCCTTTTCATACTTTCCTTGATTTTAACTTAGTAGTAAAAAGAATTGTTTTCTTATTCTTCTATTATTAAGAAGTTTTGAGTCTCAGGACTGATAGTTCTAATGTCAATTCCTTTCTAATAGATTCAATTTGCTACAAAAATTAGTATAGTTGGACAAACCATGAGGACTTTTAGCCCTCTTGCTGTAGAATTCTGTAGTAGTAGCGAGTTGTGAACAAAATTCTGAAATTGAGATAGTTGATGTGAAAATCTGGTAAGTGATTACTTAGTGAAATATGTAAACCCCAATTTGACTGCATAAGCCAGTGTAAAATTTAACTGCACTATGTAAAATGTAAAAGTTATAACAAGGCAGCAATAACCAGAAGATATTAAATTACAGAAAAAGTGAACACTCATTCATAAAATAATGTTAGCTAACAATCACTGAGTTCTTACACTTTACATACATTATTTCATTAAATCCCCACAGAAATTCTTAAGTTTCACATTATAATTATTTCAGAGAGGAGGTTCAGTGAAGTTAAATAATTTCCCAAGATCACATAACTATTAATAAGAGCTTTTCCATACCCATTTATGCATATCTTTAGCTTAATATCTTGAACATAAATCTTCTCTTCCTCAGTTATCAAATATTTTTAAGTAACAATAATTCATACTTTTTTTACTATAATACCCTTAATTTTCTTCAATTATTCACTGGATATTAACTGAACGACTGCAAGATATTAGAAATTATCCTAGGAATTGGATACATAGACATGTTTTAGACTTAATAGATTTAATAAATATGCACAGATTGACTGACTGATAGTACTGAGCCTTCCCATGCTTCCCCTTCGAATTTTTATTTCTCTACTATTTGCTTATAACAGAAAACTGTGGTTCATAGAGTCTTTCATGACTAAAGATATGTCTGAATAAAGGACTAGCAAAAACACCTACAAATAAACTAAATCCAAATTCCTTCAGTTGCAAGTAACAGGAAATGCAACAAAGTTGGATGCCTCAAAAAGGAGGGAAGCTGGCTAACATGAAGGAACAATACCCAGGTCACAAACAAAATTGCACTGTGCTCCATACTCAGGTGCTATTCCATTTATTAAGTACTGATATTAGGCCATGTTCCTCCAATTAAAAAACTGCTTTGCTATTCCCAAGCCATTCATTATTATATCAAGTCGAATGCTGAAGAAGGGATCCACCCTGACATTTACAGCAAAAGTCCTGACATGTACTATGACTGGACTGGCTCTTCTGCTCACCCTTCATACAAGCTCAGTGGTCAGAGCATGACTGTTTCAAGCCAATGAGCCTCAAACCTCATGACTAAGAAATGTTGGGGTGGAGAGCAACTACTCCATGTGTGGCATAAGCTTAAGATTGAGTATATTTTTAACACCTACTTTGAGTGTTAAAAAACTTGTGCAAATATTTTTTTACATAGAATATATCACCTATCTAAGTAAATCTAGATGTTTGTGGCATTACTGAATAATTCTACTGATTAAAATCATTAATTTAGCAAATACTGACTAAATTCTATCCTATTAGTTATGTAACATGGTAAATATTACTCAGAAGACAGTAAGATACTGCTTTTGATCTTAAGAACAAGCAATTTTCTGACGTAAAGCTGTAATAAACAATCTAGCTAGATCTATCTAAATTATCTATCTTAAACAACTAAAGCTTTTTAAAAGTTGATAGAAGCAGAACAAATCTTAAAGCTAGTGTTTCTAGCTCTAAGTGGAGCTAGAAGTGGAGAAAAGCTACTTTAACTTGATTTTTGATGATGAAAAAGATCCTATTGTGGAATGTTCTAAAAGTTTAAAGTTTAAAATGGAGTTAATTGTCATATATAATATTGTAAATGCTTTCTGTACTGTGAGAGGCTCTGCATTAATGTCAATTGTTTCCTTAATGAAAATGGATCTTTGCTAAATTTGGAATAAGACAATTTCTCTGAGAACTATTTTGGGGAGGTGTGATAACTGTCTAGTGTCTGCCTATCTTAATCACAGAGAATAGATCAAAACAGTCAATAAGCAAGAATAAAAATACTGACTTCAAACAGATGGAGAACCCATAGGGACAGGACAACAAATGCCAAGGCCATCCTGGAGAGCTCAGCAGTAACTTCCTCACATGGGATTTTTCTACACTGGGAAATTTGGCAAACTGGAAGCATGATTGTGTCCTGGTAGATGTGCCTTGTTACACATTCCCTCATGGGTGTTTTCTATAACAACACCCACTCATGTTAGTAAAAATCAAGATTTTCCCAAAGTGAGTTGGTCTTCCAACTGTCAGTCATCTTGGAAGGAAGGAGATTCAAATGAATATTAAGGTCTGGAAATTGAGACCTGAGTACCTAGGAAAACTGACTTCTCAAGGGATTCCCTTTAAAATGAGAGCTGATTGCTGTAATTGGAAACTAAACAGAGAGGTGCCCAATAGGTAGGTATCCACCTAGCCCCACTGAGTGCTTAACCATGTAGTCTGGGAGGATTCATCTCTACTTTTGAGATTTAAGTAGCTATTAAAAATATATTGCAACTCTCTTATTATCCAGTCTTAAAAAATGTATAGTTAAATGCTAAGTTAAAGAAGGAGGAGGAGTATTTAAGAAGTTTATAGCCATTTTTAAAGCACTGTTGCCAAAATTGGCAGAGATGAGGAATTTGAAACCAAGGTAGGGGGCGAAGATGTCAATCAGCAATCCAGACAAATCTGTAGGATATATAAGCATTTTGGAGACTAGCACAGTGTCTTAGAATGAAGATTGTTTTGCAGACTAGACTTTCTCAAATTATACAGGAGGTCATATGACTGTTTGAAGAAGTATAAAGCAATAGGTAGATATAATGATACACTTTAACAGGCTTTAAATAGGTAGAATTACATTTTTAGGCATAATTGGGAAGTGAGGTTAATAGATATTCATTTCATTATTTCCAGGTTTTATAATATTCATCTTACATATATTCCTTTAATATCTATTTTAAAATAAAATAAAATAATAAAGGGATTGGTTAAGTCCATGTATTAGAATCCTATAACACATGCTTTAAGAAATAATGTATAATCATGCTAAAAGATATTTGCAATACATTACTAAAATTTATAAAGCAATATGAATATTAATCAATTTTTACAAGCATGTGTGTATAAATAGATAAAGGAGTGGAAGAAATTATACTAAATTGTTAAATGAATTTATCAATACTTGATAGTTTTTTTTCTTTTGTTTGTTAAATGGTACAGAATTTCAACAATAAATATGTATTACTTTTGGAAAACACTAACACATTAATTTCAACTAAGTTATAGTTGTGACTAAATCTGGGATATTTGTGGGGCAGTAATATAGACAAAAATCACTATGAGAATGTCTTTTCACTACAATGGCTCAACTCACGAATCCTCTCCAAGGTATAAAATGAAATAAAAAGTTGATAATGGGGTAGAGGAAATCGAGAGGTGGTAAAGGTAAACATGAGGTCAGAATTTATACTGCAAGTTTTCCCATGATATAAGAAGTCATGTCACTGAATTTCATTTCTACTCTGAATTGTTAACCTGAGAAATACTATCAGTGTGTCTGAATCCCGGCCCACATTGCTGTGGTAGCAAGGTTTGGGTTCACCTAAAAAAAATGATGTTGACAATTAAATAATTTATATGTCTCTCATCATAACCCATTCTTATTAAGTAGTGAATTAAACAATAGATAATCACCTTCTTATACGGCAGGGAGAAGGAAGTAAAAAATATCTTTCCTTTAGCAGTTGAAAGAAAATTAAGCACATCTCTTTCTGTTAGCCAATAATTATTACATCATGGCACAAAGGGAAAAAGAATATAAAGCAGTACCCTATTTTTCTAAGTCACTCTTTCAGTAGTCATTTTTAGAAAATAAGAAAATAATTATACTTTCTAGATGTTATTATGAAAACTGTCATTACTGTCTGAAAATACTATTATTCATTTTTACATGTTTGCATTTTAAATATATTTTGGTAAACTTTAATTTACCAAAGCATACACACACATTTAATTGATTTTTTTTTAAGATTTATGTATTTATGCATACAAGAGCTGGTGTGCAGGCCAGAGGTGCAAGGGGTGACAGGATTCACCAGAAACAGAGTGGGGAGTAAAAAGGTGGATCCCCTGAAATACACTGCTGAGGGGAGTAGCGGGCAAGACAGGAGAGGTCTGCTGTGCCATGTGTGTCAGCTCCCTGGCTGGGGATTGCACTTGTGGCTGCAATGGGTGCTGAGAATTAACCCCTTGTGCCACAAGGGAGACTCCTAATTGATTTTAATAAGAGATATTTACAAGATTAATTCTCAGAATCCAAAAAATTTGATCACTTAGAGATTATTTGTCTAACTTTAGACTCTTCAACACTTAATTTTCTTTCTTTTATCCCAGTTGCCTAACATTTTCTTTTCTCTAAATGTTAAGTATACTGAGTTGGAAGAGAAAATGATATGCTTCATATCAATTTTGAGTGATGAATAATCAGGAAAAAAACTAATTTCTAGCTCAAGAATGAGAAATGGCAAGTATACTTTATAGAAGAATTTACGTCCAGCTAAAATCATAGTGGACTTTGGAATCAGCCGGAATAGGGTTTGAGGATGAAAGAAACAGGAAACTCTTGTTTTTTTTTTTTTTTTTTTTTTTATTTCGTTGAGTCTTTTATTTCCTTTAATAGAGTTTTACAATTTTCAGTGTTCAGGAAACTCTTGTTAACAATGAGGACCATACAAGACCTTTCTAAATATTGTTTGATAGAAATTTATGGTTAAATTAGCAAAGAGTTAGAGGAATGACTGAAATGCTAAAATGGTACTCTCTTCGGCAGTGCATATACTAAAACTGGAGCAATAGAGAGATTAGCATGGCCGCCAATCAAGGAAGACAAGCAAATTCATGAAGTGTTCCTTATTTCTGAACTCTGAGGCAAATTGGGCACTCAAGGGACCAGTATATCCGCACAACAGCACACAGGTCTGCAGCCTGCTGTACACCAATAGCTTATGGCGTTACCAGGTAAAAACACACTCTGACATCAGTGTTCAGAATAGCACTGGAAGCACAAGAAGGACCCCATGATTTTTTTCCAGCCACTTCAGAAAACCTTCACAAATATTCAAGTTCTCTTGTAGATTTCAAAACTTGCTACTCTAAGGGTAGCAAGCCTTTTGGGATTTTAATCACTGGAGCCTTGCCATGAGGACCAAATATGAGTTACTCAGACCAACTATGGTTATAAAACCAGATTGCACTTAAAAAAGAAGAGAGAAAGAAATGCTAAAATGTATCACAAAGCAAAAGAGAGCAAATCAGAAATGTAAAGTGCACAGTAGAATGAGTCAGAATATAGACAACTCTTCTTACTTTCTGATTAAACTTTCATCTTCCTGTCATCTGAATCTAAAGCCAAACAAACAAACAAAACATACGTGTCATTTTCCCTTACCCTGAAACTGCCCCCTTCAGTTTATGGGGGCTTAATCTCTGCAGTATTTGCCTTGCTTTGGACAAAGTTGCCATCTAGTGTCCATATCTGGGAACTACAGACTATGGGAATGTGCTCCGTGAACATAAACACACATTACCTTAAAATTTAAACTATTCCTTTTGTTTTTTCCACAAATATTTATGTTGCTATTATGAGTTGGGATCTGGAGTTGCAAAAGTGGCTAAAAACAAGTTATTCCTAAAAATCTAGTGGGAAAGGTAAGCATCACTGGAATAATTCCCAATTAAAAATAAAAATAACAACCAACACAAGTTCTACAGTATGGACTCTGTGCCATATTAATAAATTTAGTACGCATAAAAAGCATAAGAAAAAGGTATATTACTAGCCTCATTTTCAGATCTGAAAGCTAAGGCAGAGAGCTAAATAACTTCCCTGGTCACACAGCAGAGAAGGAATACAAGCCCAGGCAGTTTTATACCCAAATCTGTGCTTTTAAACACTTCAACGTAGAACAAAAATTTTGATATGTGCAAGTAAAATAAATATATGATTGTATGACATTCATTCATTCAACAAATATTTACTGACCTATATATTTCAGGAACTATTTTTGACCTGTGAATAAAGAAGATAGACAAATACTCTAACTTCACAGAGCTTACATCATAAACACGCATACATGCACACACACGCTCACATATGCATATATAGGAATATATAATTTCTAGGCTGCTGTATGCCAAGAAATTAATAAAGCAAGACAAGTGATTCACGATGGGTAGAAGAGGGGGCACATTATTTTCATTCTTGGTAATTTTCTGGAAGTTGTGAGGAAAGGAGCTCCGAATAGAGACTGAACAAACATGAAAGTTGCAAGCATTTGGAATAAGAATGCTGGAGAGAGGGAGAGAGCAAACACAAATGTCATTGCAGGGGACTCTATTTTTCATTCTGTGGCTCTACACTAGTGCTCCCCACCCCCCGCCACTGCACACAAAGGACTAAAGGGGAGAGCACAAGAAACAGAGACATAGGGTGTGAGATTGCAGAAACATCCAGAAAAACCTTAGCAAATATGAAACTTCAGGCTTTATTCCAATTGTGATGGGAAACCAAGTTAAAGTTTCATAGAAGAAACATTATCAAATTTATATATTTTTAAAGATCACACTAGTTACTGTGAGGAGCATAGACTATGGTATATATTGACAGAATTAATATATTGACAGCAAGGCAACTGATCAGGAGGCAACTGGAACTTTCCAATTAGATAATGATGTAGTCAAATAATCACTTACAAATAACTATAAGGAAATCATTATTAACGGGGTGACATATGCAGCATATGTAAGCATATAGACAAGAATATGTGGATGTCTTCAAGAAAGAGTAAATAGTTCAACTTCATTGCACCAAACGATGAAGGTAGTGGTAAAATCTGAATTAGACTCAAATGATGAGGAACTCAAAGGACTGTAAAATTTAAAAATACCTTTCTTCTTCCTTCCTTCTGTTTTCTTAACCAGCTTCCAGGAGCCCCTGATAACAATTCGGTTACATGTTGGTTTCCATCTGTCAATGTAATTGTGTACGTCCTTTTTAAATATCCCTGATAGTGTTGGGCATGGAAAATATTGTTCAGAATGATTAATAAGTCTGCTAAAAGACAAAAAAAATTGTGATATAGCCATTGTTTGATAGTTACATTTATTAATTTGCTGCAGTACAACAGCAGAACTGTGGTACATTTCACCAAAACAGAGCAACAGCCAATATTAATACTTATTTGGGGGGCAGAGTAGGATTTAAGCAAAATTAAAATAAATAGTTTTTTTACAGGCTGACAGCAAAGCAGGGCTGTGCTAGCATCAGAGCTGGACTGAGAAGTGGGCTTAGGGTGCTGTTTCATTGGAAGCTACAAAGATGAATAAGAATATGGTATCTGAAATTACATTATCATAGATTTCATTATAATTGCTTTGTAGCTGGGTGGGAAATGGAAGCTGCTACTCTTTTTCAAAGTGCCAACTAGCTCAGCTCTCCAGGTAATACTGGAATGTTCCCATCACACTGATCTGATTTCAAAAAGCAGTTTCTTTTAGTCTGTGATAAAAGCCAGAGTTTTTTTTTTTTTCAGTGATATGCAATCCTTCTTACAGTTTTATACTACTATAACTTTAAACATTAGTATTTGATTTATTAAAGTACAATTTTAAAATCTTAATTTTGCCTATAATGTTGAAGTTTACCTTAAGAAAGCTGTGAGTAGGAGCATGCCTGCTCTGGTGATGAACGAAGCAGAGAGCAGAGGAGCTTACAGAGATGAATGGGAACAAACTACTGTAATAGGGTGGTTCCCAGATTTTTTTCTGGGAGATTCCAGGTTCCCTACTCCACCCAAGGGAGGGTGGAGCTGAGCAAGGAGAAGAAAAAGTTGGAGAGGAGATGGAGGAAGGAAGCACATGAAGAGCAATTAGGATACCTGGAGGAGGCACATGGAGCAGGGAGACATGTGAAGAAGCTGCACTTGCTTCTTGGTCCTGGACTGGTTGAAACAGATGTGGGTGAGAGAGCAGTGGGAAGGTTAACAGCAGCTTTTATCTTGATTTTGATTTTGCTGTTTTATTCCCAGACTTGTCTGGCTGTTTCTGACCCCTTTCTATGGGTCCCCTCCCAAAGGTAAGGCTTTAGACTTGTGGCAGATTTTCAAGCCTTGCTTTGGGCCAACAATGTCTGGCTAGACATTTACCCACAAGGGGATGGGTAATCTTGGGTGCTTGATTTGGAAACTATATTCTTTGTTTTTTCTGGTTCATATTTTAATTGAATAAATATTAAGGCTTATTTTTCTATGAAAAAACTTGTGACAAAATTTTGCCCTCGTAGTTTCATCCACATAAGATGTTATGGCTATGTAAAATGTTTTTACCCAAGACTATGCATGGGACCCACACATAATCATCTCTTAATCAGTAACACAGAATAATATTGACTTTTTGTCTTTGACCAGCAGGATGATTTTGCAATAAAATCTTTAGCCTTTTTCTTAAAAATCATTATGCAAATCAATGCTTATGTGTGAGCAGGTTGTACTTTATTTTCTTGGAAGTAACATTAATTTACATGTTTTAATATTTAGTGACTATTAGTATATGATCACTATTAACACTATATTAATGCTTGGAAGATACAGAGATAACTATAGCAGTTCCTGTTTTCAAGGAGATTACCAGTAATAAAGAAATTACAGACACAAGTAATTACCATAAACTCTATATATGATGGTTCCTATTACAAAAAAGTAGATTTAAGACACAAATTCTGCCTTGTGAAAAGGAAAGTCTTCCTTTTGGGGTGGTTTATTACACAGATAAGACAGCCAAAAGACTGAAAAATAATGGTTCCACACAACAGAGAGAATGGAAGAGACAGACCTGGTATGGACTGATGAAGAATAATTTCGTGAGCTGGTAACATTTTAGTGTCTCCAGAAAAAAACTAAAAATACAGATATCTGTGGGAAATCATTTTTGAAAGTTTTAGTAAATGCAATGATATGAACTATGGCTCTGAAAAATTCAAGAACAGGGAAAAGGTCAGGATGTCTACAGCACAGTGTAACATGGTGGGGAAGAGTAGATAAAAGTCAGAAAAGAAATGTAAGAGGGGAACCAGTTCTTACACATCCAAAGCAGGACTTCAGCTTTTAGTCTAAGCGCAAAGAAAAGCCATTAAGAGAAATTTCAGGATTTAAGAAAAATCACTCTGCCTGCTGTGATTAAAAAAACATATTGAAGAACATATGAAAAAGTTTATAAGTGAAAAATAAAATTATATATCTGTCTAAATTGAAGAATATTTATAAAGCGCAAATTGGCTCGTGATTACAGAGGCTAAGAAGTTCCACAATCTGCTGTCTGTGAGCTGGAAGCGCAGGAAAGTTGGCAATATAACTCAGCCCAAGTCCAAACTGGTATAAATTCCAATCCAAGGGCCAGAGACAAAATGCATCAGCTCAAAAAGTAAGGGGAAAAAAAAAAAAAAGAGGGAGGGGGGAGATTCTTTTCTCCTCCACCTTTTGTTCGCTTAAGGTCTTCAATGGACTGTATGCACCTACACTATGAAGAACAAGCTACTTAGTCCACCAATTCAAATACTAATCTCATCCAGAAATATCCTTAGAGACACACCCAAAAATAAAGTTTAATCTGGACACCCATACCACTTAACTTTGAATCATTATAAAGTGTATTTTCAAATCATCATAAAATGGGCTTTGCTAGGGTACAAAAATAAAAAAAAGGAAAGAAATTAACTATATACTATGCATATTTTTGGCATAAGAAGTTTTTCTTATGCAGTTTGGTGAGAGTCAAGCAATTTTGTAGCACAGTTGTCACTGATATGATGAGAAGGTGTCCTCTTCTGTTTACTGCTGCTCTATGATCTCAATATGTGGCCTTCATGATTGCTGTTTGACATTCCTCTTCTGTGCTATAGTTTGGAATTGACACACTCTGCTTTCACTAACAGATCATTAATCAAAATGAAGTTCAGAGCTCCACCTAACAACAAGGGAACTGGAAAACAGAGCAACATATGGAATAATTGTTAGGCTTTGCTTGTCTGCCCAAGCAAACAGAAGACCTGCCATGAGTCTACTGCAATAATCCAAAAAGATCATGGCAGTTTGGACAAGGATAGTACTAACGAGGATGAAGGAAAACGTTCAAATTTCAAACAAATTTTGAAGGTAAAACAAAAAAGATTTGCAAAATGACAAGGCCTGGGGTATGAAAGACAAACTGAGATGGGAAAACTAAAGGAAAAGTTTGGAAGATTATTGAGGATTTGGTTTTTGATATGCTATGTTCGCTTATTATGCAACACGGGGGGAAATAGCAAAGTAAGCAGTAAGACACATGGGCTTAAAGATTTCAGGAAAGAGGTACAGGGTGCAGATATAATTTAAAGCCAGTCAATATAGGGATGGTTTTAACAGTCATGAAACTGGATGAGATAACCTGTAGAATGCAGGTAGTAAAAAAAAAAAAAAAAAAAGGACAACTAAACCCTGGGAAATTAAAACATGTGAATGTCAAGAGATGAGAAACCAGTGACCAGAATTATAGGAGCAAAATATGGCAAATGTGGTAGCCAGGAAGGCAATTAAAGGGAGTTGGTCTGGGGGCTATTTGTTTTTTATTTTGCTTTTTTTACAACAAGGAAGAAACTGTTTAGTGATCCTGGTGGATAATGTAGGACACAATTTGAGAACTGACTACTGAATTTAGCAATGTGAAGGCAACTGTGAATCTCTAAAAGGGCAATTTCAATTTTTTCTAGTTCTTTTTTTTTTTTTTTTTAAATGGTTAAGGTAGTATTGGTACTGGGCAACGTGTCTACAACCGTCACTGGATCAGAACCTCTCTCATTTGCTCTGGGTCTGGCCACCTATCACCACAAATGTAAACAAAAGAGCATTTGGCCCCCAAAAGGATAAAAACAATTTGTGGGGGAGAGAGAGTTGGAGAAGGTCTCGTTACTGATTTATAGTGCAAGATGGAATTGCAGCTACAGGAGCTGGCAGGGTTTCACAAGATCTGCTGCTTCGGGAACTGAGGCCTGCAATACCCCAGAACAAAATCTTATCAAGTCCTGCCATCAGCTGTCTGGTGGGGTAGCTGCCTCCTTGGCACTGCCAACAATAAAGAGCCCACAAAGGTTGCTCCCTTTCAAAGGCTCACAAAATGGCTGCTCAGCTCCACTCCCTCCCAGCACCCCTGTTGCTCATGTCTCATTTTTTTTTTGCTCATTCTCGCATTCTGGAGAGATGCATGAGTTTTCCTGGCACTTGTGGATACTAGCCTCTTCTGGTATATATGATGTGCAAATATTTTCTCCTATTCCGTAGGATGTCTTTTTGCTTTAATGATTTTTTTTTCACTCCATGCAGAGACTTTTTATCTTAATGTAATACCATTTATTTTTGTTTTTGTTTCTTTTATAGCTGGAATTGAGTCCCCAGAGATGTCACTGAAGTTAATGTGGTGAAGCGTTTTGTCTATGTTTTCTCCTATGGGATAATCTAAATATTTGCCAGAAACAGAAATAGTGCTGCCAGACACTTCATAAACTACTGGCTTGATGTATTTCTCAATTTCAAACTTAGATCCTGCTAAATTTGTTTTGAGGATGGCATATCTTTGCAAAACTGGGATTCTGGCTGTTGCTCTGATAAAGAGCAAGTGCCTCTTAAAAACCAAGGTAGACTAGAAAACAAATTGACCCTTGGAATGCTTTGAAATATTGTCATGACAGTAACAGCACCATGAATTGAGAGAGTTTAGGAATATGTGGGCTAAACCAAGAAATCTCTGCAAGAAAGATAAACTCAGAGAAGAACACATCCACCTCTAGTCAAATATAAAGATATAAAAGCAAATTATATCTTTTTTCCATTCCTCAGGTCAAGCCTGATATAAAGGGAGAGCAGACTTAATGGAGCTTGAAGTTGATATTTTAAATCAACGTGGACTGTTAATAACTGAAAGTAATCAAGAAATTATGAAATCTGCCTGAACTATTGTCAAGGGAAGAATTCTCCCTTTGGCAAATTAAATTGAGTATAATTAAAAGCAATTAAGTAGAAAGAAAATAATTCTGTCATGTAACTATTCCACTAAGTTATGATATCTCAATCACAGTACATAAGGACCATTAAACATATTATCAAGTTCTGTGTAGCAATTCTTGGAATGCATTAGAATTCATTCATGCATTGAACAGGTATTTATACAATATTACCCAAGCCAAAATCCCAGAATCTATTCTTAATTATTATTCTTCATCTGTAAATCCATCTTATTTCAAAATATACCTCAATTCCAGCTTTCTTTCTCCATGTCTACTGTTATCAATTTCTAGCAGTGTCTTTTGCTTGCACTATTGCAGTAGTCCTACTGATCTCTTGCTTCTATTTTTTTTCAAGCCACAACCAAGGAGAAATTTTCGTATCTAAAATTTCATCACCATCACACACATATCCCAACTAGAAAAAGAGCTCTTAGTTTCCACTTGTTCTTCAGATTATCCAGACTCCAAATAAACCCTCATAGTCCAGTTCTATATATCTGACATTAGGGCTGGTGGGGTCCCTATGATTTTTCTAGTTTTTATTAATGTTTGTCCTTCCCTTCTCTCCAATTAATGTTCCACAAAAGCAAACCTTTGATGTATTGCCAACTTCATCTAATCAAGCAATAATTTTAAAAAGCTGTAAGAGGCACCTTAGGCCTCAGTAATAGCTCTCCAGAATCCTCGAAGTCCTGTATAGAGCAAGGTAAATATCTCTGCCTCTCTCCATTCAAAAATTAGGTAGAATGGTGAATCAGGAGATTAAGTCTAGTCACAAGAGCCAACTCTGTCATTTACGAGCTGTGTGACAAATTTTATACAGTCAATGTAAAATATACATCAACAATAAAATGGGAAGGACCTAAGTCATAGGGTTGTTGTGAGGATGAAGTATGTTAAACCACATATATAATTATTTATATTTAACAAATTATCTGTCCTTAGAGGCCACCATTCTGTAAAACAAATCACAGCCAGAGTCTACAGGGATGCCCAAATACTCAACAATTCAAAATACGTTTCTCTCCTAACTTACTGTTCCTTTAATTGTTCTCCAGCCCAAGAGGACAATACTGCTCTCAATAGGTCGAGATTTTTAAACTTAACTATCAGGGATAGAATAGGGCTCTCACAGTCCCCCAGGGGGAAAAACTCTGCATTTCTGCCATCCCACAGCTCAGCTGGGGGCTATTGCTGTTTCAAGAACCAGATAATGTCTGGCAGGTCTGAAAGGCCTGGGGAGAATCTTTTAACTAGTTCCCCTTTTGTTATAGAGCAACCCCGATATTAAACGGGTTCCTGGCTGTGGGTCCTCACCCGCGCGCTTTAAAGGGACTTATGAATACTCTACTACAGACACACGCAAAAGGGTTAATAAAAGGTTTATTTACAAGAGAAAAAGAAATAAGGAAAATGTACAACTCAGGGAGAAAATAGGGAAATAAAGTCTTTAATGAGCCCTACCCGATCCAACGACCTGGAAACCCAAAGTCACTCTCAGAGCTAGACGGACGCCGCGAGCTGGCCGAGGGCCCCAAAATGGAGAGAGCCCCAAAGCCCACATGTCTGCCTTTTGTATCCACCTGGCTGCTTAACCCCACCCTCAGGTCCCAGCCACCTTCCCTTGGGTGGTGATGGGATGTAGAGTTCCCAGTGTCTTTGGCTTTGGCCTGGGGTGGGGGTAGAGTCCACAAAGCCTGTATGGAATTTGCTTTGGGGCAGCCTTTTCCCCCTAACACTGGGGTGGGGGTGGAGTCCACAAAGCCTGTATGGAATTAGCTTTGGGACAGCCTTTTTCCCCTAACACTTTCACCCCCACTATCACCCCCTTTCAAAAAGAGGGAGGTAGAGGGAGTTCCAACTGTTATAGGACAGGGAGAGGGGCAGCCCAAACCCCGCAAACCTGCCTATTCTACATGGGTTCTGCCATCCGCCGCATCAACACAAAACATAGGAGACTTTAATGGGAAGGAACTTTAATAAAACTAGGAAACAATACAGGTAAGGCAAAGAGTCTAGTTTCTAAATGAAGCACCCAAAGTTACCCATCCCCTCGTGGGTAAAAGTCCATCCAAATGGGATTGGCCCAGAACAAGGCCCCAAAGCCTGCTAAAAGTCTAAAGCATCTTCCAGTGGGGACCCACAGAAAAGGGTCACAAACAACTGGATAAGCCCGGAAGGAAAAGAGCAAAATCAACATCAAGATAAAAACTGCCATTGTCACCTCCCCATGGGTCTCACCCACATCTGTGTCACCCCGTCCACGACCAAAAGACAAGCGCAGTTTCTTTAATTGTCTCTAGGCTCCATGCGCCTCCTCCAGTTCTCCTGGCTCCATCCTGCTTCCTTCCTTCCTCAGTCTCTTCTGCAGCTTCTCCTCTTCCTGCTCAGCTCCACCCTCCCTTGGGTGGGGCAGGGAACCTCCCCCTTTCCTGGGGACCACCCTGTTACACAACTAGTCAGGAATTAGCAGGAATAAAGGGAGCAAGGTATGGAGAATTAAGAAGGACCCCTCCCCACCTAGAAATGAAACGACCTTAGAACCCAATTGTTCTACAGCTCAGTGCAGCTCCCCAGCTTTCCTGGGACTGCCAATGCCTTTTGCAGCGTTCATGCCTATTGCTTCCTAATGAACTCTGTTGCTAGCTTAATTCTGGTGCTTCATGAAACTTTTTTTTTTAAAGATTTATTTCATTTTTATGCATACAAGAGCTGGGGTACAGACCAGAGGTGCAGTGGAGTGAGAGGATTCACCAGAGTGGGGAACAGAACAGGCATATCGACTGAAATACACTGCTGAGGGGAGCAGCGGGTGAGCCAGGAGAGGTCTGCCGCACCAATTGGGTAGCTCCCTGGCCAGCTGGGGCTCGAACTTGTGCTTCAGAGGCTGCATAGGTTAAGTCTTAACCCCTTGCGCCACCAGGGAGGCCCGCTTCGTGAAACTTTTATCGAAAGATACCAAGGATCCTCGGGTGTTGGGATTCTCAACATAACCCTCCAAAGACCAGACCGTAATCACACAGTCATTCTCACACGACGTCTCAGTCACTACCACTAGGAAGACCTTTCCCAACTGCCCGGATTACAATCCCGGCCTCAGCTGCACGACTGCGCAGGCGCCACGCCCAGACCCGCTCCATGCACATGCGCAGTACCGACACCTTCGGCCCTTGGCTTTATACCCTTTTCCTTCACGCCGCTAAGTTTCTCATTTCTCCTTTGACAACTCTTGCTTTTCAAACTCACGCTTCTCACTAGCGATTTTTGTTTTGAATACCTTCAGCAGCTATGTGAAACTTGAGACACTTTGCTCTCCCGAAGACCCGCCTCCCGAAGAGGGGCCGCGCTTCCGCGTCGCCGGTCTCGCGAGAGGATGACGTTTCACGTTACTTCCTTGTTTCCAGAATCCTTAGCGCGAGGCGGAAAAATACTCTTAGCTCAGCTAGAGGATTCCTGCAGCCCCCGCTGCAGCTGCCCGCAGCTCTCCCTCTGCTGCTTCTAACAGGCAAATGGCGGCCCCCGAGCAGCCGCTGCCAATGGCCAGAGGATGCCAGAGTTCTTCTGCGCTTTCCCCGCCCCGGGGCGATCGAACCCTGCTTGTGAGACACCTGCCAGCCGAGCTCACCACTGAGGAGAAGGAGGATTTGCTCAAGTATTTCGGGGCACAGTCGGTGCGCGTGCTGTCAGATAAGGGGCGACTGGTAAGGCCCTTGGTTGGTGGCCCCGGGAGAGGGAGCTCAGAAGACAGCAGAGTGGGGAAGATGTCCTTGCGTCATGTTGTTCCCCATCTTTCCGCCCTTACAGCGCCATGGCTTCCTTGCCAAGCCGGGTTGTCATTGGCTTGAGCCTGGATGAGTCACAGCCACTCATAGCAGGAATTTAGAAAACCCAAATGAGGGACCAGGAAAAAGACTAATTATAATAAAGTGAAAATCAAAATCAACAGGCAGCTATAAACCAGAGACACACTAGGGGGGTGGGCGGGAGGAGAGGAGGGGTTAGGGTCAAAATAAAATGAAGGGGGTGGGAATTGTATGGGGAATATAACCAAGATGAAAATGCATACATTGTGCAAAAATGAAAAATGATGTAAGGATTATGTAAAATAAAAAAAAAATAATGCAAAAGTTGCAAAACAGCTCAGTGAAAACAAGCTGGCTGTGGCAGTTTGCACCCATTCCTGAGGAAGAAATGGGGACCAGGAGGATGTGGGCAGTGTCATGAGCACATACTGTAACATCTTTAAAGAGATCAAAATGAACAAGCAACTATAAACCATAGACACACTACAGGTGCGGGAGGAGGGCGGAGGATCAAAGCACGGGGGTGGAAATTGTGTGGGGACTATAACCAAGATGAAAATGCATGCATTGTGCAAGAATGAAAAATGATGTAAAAATATGAAATAAATAAATGATTATGAGAGGTCTTAAAAAAAAGAAAAAGGGCAAGTGAGAAAGGCAAAGCAAAATAGTGGGGAAAAGTATAGACATCTTGAGTATCTCAGAACTCCTCTGAGTTTGGGGATATTTTTCTTAGGCTCAGGACTCTCAAAAATAGGTAACAAATGATTTAAAAAAAAAAAAAATCTTAGTTTGTCAAAATAGAGGGGAAACTTCTGTAGGTAGTAATGTGGGTAAACTAGTTAGAAAATCTCCACGGTGTTTTCTTGGCCGTGTTTTACCCATACTTTCAAATAGTTCAAAGACCAAGATTTTTGATTTTTTTTTTTTTGACTGAGTAAAGTTCTTCATAAAAAATATTTTTAGACTTAAAAGTTCTCAAACAGAAAGTTGCACAATTACAGGACTTTATTTTCTTTTATACCTAGAGATGTTTTAGATGGGTTTCTCTCATTAAAATAATAATAGCAATGTTAAGTTTCTGCAAGATGGTCTGGGATGAGGCAGGACATCAATGGTTTTAAAGTCTGGCAGGCAATTCTGTAATAACCATTGAGGGTTGAGAATTACTGAGAAGAAAAATTATTTTTGATCAAAGTGTCACCTATTTCAGCAAATACAAATATTTCATATAGTTCAATGTAAGCACACTTAACTAGGTCATCTTGGATCAGATTATTCAAATTTAGAATGTGTTATATTCTAAATATACAAGCAACTTGTAAATACTTTAATGAGCATTGATAACTTGCTTAGCATAATGATTTATTTGCTTTTGACTTATGTTCTTTATGATGATTTTGACTTATGTTCTTTATTTGTAGCTTATATTTATAAATAGATTCCTCCCATTAAGCCCTTATTTCAAGGATAAAACACAAAGGTCATATGCATACGAGGAGTGATATTTTGTTGATAAACATTTTTAAACTTTTCATTGTATAGAGGAAAGTTAGATGTGTTATAAATAGTAGATATTTTAAATTTTGCTTAGTTTAAGAGTGGCTCTCTCTGGATAGGAGGGTTTTTTTAACTTTTGGTCTTTGAACTATTTAAAAGTGTATGTAAGATATGTGTGTGTGTCTGTGCACGTCTATGAAAAAGACTACATAGCTTTCATCTCAAGTTTGATCCAAAAGAGTCAAAACCATTTTGCTGAAATCAGTACTATCGATTAAACGATCTTGATTTTTCATCCTTTTACATGATTTAATGTGTCAAATTACTGTCAACTGGTAAAGTAATTTGTACTAATTCTCTTTCAGAAACATACAGCTTTTGCTACCTTCCCTAATGAAAAAGCAGCTATAAAGGTATGCCTTTTTCATTACTATTAAAGCAATAATTTTTTATTATCCAGTCTTGGCTCAAAAATGAAATGTTAAATTAGTATTTAAAAATAAATGAGTTTGTATTTCAAGAGTTTGCCTAACAGGGTTCATTTGGCTTATTAATTGGCAGATCTTATCCAATGTTTAGGTATTTGGAAATAATACAGTAGATTAACTGGAAAGTGAATTAAAATTGAATTCCAGTCTTGTAGGTAGTTTAACATAACAAGTTCTGAAGGCTGTACAAATTGTTAACTTTCTCTTTTGCAAGGCAGGATGTTTTAAGCATTAAACTATATATATAATAAAACAATTTTTTGTGTGAATGGGAATGCTTTGAGAGGCAGACCTTTCATAATTAATTGAATTTTGAGAGTAAAAGAAAGGTATATGGACCTTCCTGTTTTGAGTGAACCTATGGGGCATGGAAAATTGTAAGAGCTAAGGCTTAAATGTAAATAGGACTTGGAAAATAGGTTGAGTCTAAAGTTGGGCAAGAATGTGGTCAGCTCTGAAAGATACCTGGTAGATTTCCTATAATAGATTGGATATGGAAAAAGATTACAAGTAGGAAGACCTAGTGAAAAACTAAGACAAGAGAAATGTTATAATTGTCAGGGCGAGAGAAAGGATCTGAATTAGACAGTAAGAAAACAGAAGTAGATACATATGGTGATAGAGGTTGAACTTGTAGGTCTTAGGAGCTCTGTGAATATAAAAGTTGAGCAACATGTAATAATTGTGATTTTTTTTTGCCATGAATTATTGGGTTATTACATTAACTGACATGAGGGGCAGGATCAGAGGGTGTTTGTGAAGGAGAGGATGAATAAAAATGTCGTCCTGTTCTTTTTCCCTTTTTTCCATAGCATTTATTAAAAAAGGAAAAAGAACAACAGAACTAGGAGTGCTGAGTGGGGAAAGTTAAGTTGGAGTTAAGGACATTAGACTCATTATGAGCAACCACTTGAAGGAGGGAATTTAGCTAGTGAGGGGACTATCTGGGAAATGCATTCCAGTTAGAAGAGTAGCTGAAACTGGGGCTCTGGTGCGGAAGCATACCCGCCATGTTTAAGGAAGACAGCGTGACTGACTAAAGCATACAATCTGAGGGGAGAAAATTGGATATGAGATCAGAGAATTATAGAGGCCATATTATGTAAGTATTGTAAGGACCTTAGATTTGACTCTTGAGTATAATGGGGAACCTTGAGAGTATTTTCACCCAAGTAACAACATAATTTGACTGTTGTGTTGAGAAAAGATGGAAGGTGGGGAAGAATAGAAACAGGAAAATCTGTTAGAATGTTACTGAAATTCAGTCCAGAGGTAATGGCTGTTTGCACAACAGTGGTAGCAGCAGAGGTGTAAGAAATACTTAGATTCTGAATGTGCTTTGCAGATAGGAGCAAATAGGATTTCTTGGTGGTGGATAAGCAGTATGAAAAAGATGAATTGAGGATGATTTCAGGATTTTTGGCACAAGTGAAAAAATGGATTTGTTATCCATTAAAATGGGATTAGATCGCCAAGAGAATAGAGAAACTAATAATAGGCTCTGGAGTATGCCAGCATAAAAGTGAGAGAAGACACAGCCAGAGACTGAGTAGTAGAAACCAGTGAGCTAGGAAAAAAACTGTATATAGGAAAGTACGATTCTTGATACCAAGTGAAGAACAGTTTGATGCAGGGCATTTGATCAACTGTGTTTAATGCAGTAAAATGAAAATTAAAACTAGGAGTGACCATTGGCTTGGCATCACAGCTTGTTTTCAATGATAGGCAATGTCAGTGGAATGATTAAGGATAAGCTTTTATTGGAATTAGTACAAGACTGGATAAGAAGAGATAATCTTAGAGGCCTAGATAGCTCTTAAAGAGTTTTTCCTCCAAGAGTAATTAAAAAGGGGAGAACAGTGGTAAATACAATCATATGAAGGGGAAAAAAAAAGATTTAGGATGGGAGAAATAGAGGCATGATTGTATGTTGATGTGACAGAGAATTACCCTTAGAAGTAAGAACACTCCCCCCTTGTTGCCCCCACACACACCCCCAACCCCCACCATTGCCATATAGTTTCCAGAGAATAGAAGAGAGATTCTTGAGAGGATGATTGTGGGTTTTCTATACAAGTCAAGCAACCAGATATAGATAAAAGTGTGGGTAGTTAATACCTGATAACAGAGGAAAGTAGAGTAGTATGGCTGCAGATGCTGGCAGGTGAGGAGTTGTTATGGTGGGAAGCTGAAGTTCTCATCTGGTCACTTCAATTTTCGCAAGTGGAGAAGAAAGGTCATAGTCTAAAAGAATAGAAGAGAAACATTGTGAGGTAAGGAATAAGGAGAAAGTACAAAATACTGTCCTAGAGATAGGTGGGGAAAAAAATAAACTTAGAACATAACGTCATTAAGGGCTACCCACTGGATTTGTGACTGCAGTCATGAATTTAAAGTTTGACCGGTGCAACATGTTGTTTGTTTTTCCAGCCATTTTCAGCTACTTGGGTATAAGCAGAGTTGAATTTAACCAAATTTTACTTCTGCTAAGTGATAGGAAGCTGTCCCTTAAAAAATATTAAAGACATGGCAACCTGAGATTAAAATTGGGTAAGAAATATCCAAGGAAATATTAACAGTATTAACAAAGAACATGTATAAATTACTTTATATATCATCTAACAAATAATTTTTGGTACAATGATTACACTTCTTAACTCTTTTCTTCCAATTGAAGGCACTGACAAGACTCCATCAACTGAAACTTTTAGGTCATACGTTAGTTGTTGAATTTGCAAAAGAGCAAGATCGAGTTCATTCCCCATGTCCTTCTTCAGGAATTGAGAAAAAGAAAAGGTATGTAGATAGATTTTCTTGATATTTTAAAGTGCTTTTTAATCAGCTATATTGATACTGTATTATTTTCAGGCTAGCAAGTAAATAATCAAACAGTAAATGATATCTTACTCTATTGAATTGTATTAAAACAATATGTTTACTTATGTTCCTAATTATGCATAAAGAACCTGAGTATTGCTTTAATATTAGGAATTAATCAATGTGAAGTGGGAAGAGAGTGAGGTATGAAATATTTCAAATGGGAGGGAAAGTAACACTTCCTGTCGATTAGCCATAGTATGGTATTAGGAGTCAGCATGGCCTTTGAAACTAACGACTGGTATTTACTTCCCAGTTGTAACTCTTTGTAGTTCTATAACCTTTACAAATTTGCTATACACTGGTGAGTCTCAAAATTAGTCCTGTATTAGCTTCATTCTCTAGTCTTGTGATTAGAGTATAGGTTCTTGGGCCTCACCCTGCCCTACTGAATCAGAAACTTGGGAAAAGAGTGAGGAGGATAAGGCCTCAGCAGTCTTTTTTGACAAACTCTTTAGGTGATTTTGAGGCACCTTAAAGAAATCTGAGTACCACTATTTTATACCACGTAAACTTTATTTAAATTTGTTTATGTTGTCATTGATAGCAATACCATCTTCTTAGGGTTGTTGTGAAGAGTAACTGAAATGTGGCATATTTTGCATAATATCTGGAATAGAGAAGGTATTCAGTAAAGATTAATTCTGTATACCATCCTTTTCACTGGTGTTTGCTTGAAAGCCACATTTGAAAAGTAAATGTTTTTCTCTATGCAATTATTTACTCTATTTCTAGTAAGATCAAATTTGATTCTATATTCCTAGATCTGAAGACCCTGTGGAAGATGATAAAGAAAAGAAAGAACTTGGTTGTTTAACCATAGAAAATGGAATTGCACCAAACCATGGGTTAGCTTTTTTTGTTTATATTTTGTTATTCTTTAGATTTTATGTATATATATTGTAGGTAAAATAATTTTTAAAGGATATTTTATGTATTATTTATTTTTGATCTTTTCATTAAACATTTTTAGTTACAAGAAGAGTTGTCACTGAATTTGATTTCATTAATATATTTAGAGCTATAAGATAAACTGACATCTCATCTTATTTTTCATAATGCAATCAAAAGTTCCATTGTTATTTGAATGTATTTATTTGGATCTTTTAGGAACAAAGTACATCTAAAAATACCAAGTGGTTTGAGCAACCTTGTTAACAGGTTACCTAAAATTAGTTATTGAAATGAAACTTGTTAAAATAAAAGCATTTTAAATATTTTTTTTAGGCTGACCTTTCCTCTAAATTCATGCCTCAAGTACATGTACCCACCACCTTCAAGCACTATCCTAGCAAACATAGTAAATGCTTTGGCAAGCGTGCCTAAATTCTATGTACAGGTAAGTGGAGTAAAACTTTCCTCAATGTAAATTTTTGTGTAACTTGATATATTATTTCCCATGATAATTCTCATTTTTTCATTAATAGTATTAATCAGACTTTTTCTAACAAGCAGGGATACTGCAATATTTTGAAGGTGTCTATTTCAAACTACTATAGCTAAATACCATTGAATGGTGACTTATAAATAATTGAACTTATTTTCTCACTGCTGAATCTCGAAGTCTAATATAAGAATTGACTCTTCAGCAAATGCTTGAAAGTACTGATAGGAATAAGATACTTCTTTGATATACAAACATAGGTGATGTTTCTTTCCCTTATTGTTGTCCTCTGTAATTTCATAATCATCAAGGTTGAAAACAGCTTTTCAGTAGATTTTGCATTGCAAGAACATGACAGTTTTAATAGTAAGAATAAAACTACCTGTAGAATTAATGAACATTGTATGAAGGTTAATCTTCTGAGATTATCAGTGCCTTGTTTTATTTTTTCTTTGTGATAATAAAGGCAAGAGGTGGACCTTCCTTCGTACTAATCTCATCAATTGCTTTACTACGTAGTTTTTAAATATGTAAAATGTATGGTCAAGTTGCACCATCATTTTACCATGTGATTTGAAATGTTCTTCCACTTTCAGGTGCTTCATCTTATGAATAAAATGAATTTGCCCACACCTTTTGGACCAATTACTGCACGACCTCCCATGGTAAGGAAGGCCTTAGAATTTTCAGGATATGGAATGTCTCTTCCTGAGGTGGGATTATTGAGGCTGAACTTTACATGTATGATATCAGTGACTTCTAATTGAAGATAGGTAACAGATAAAGTTCATGTCACTATAATAGTCAAGTGGAGGAATAAAAGTGGGTAAACACCAAAATGTGAGAAAAATGCTTTTTATAATGGAGACCATCATTTCTGCCACTGTTGTTTAGCTTTGACCCAGAACATTGTACCATCTTATAAGGTAATTACATCTAAACAAAACTATCTAAAATCTCTATTGTCCTGGCACATAGGCAAGAAAGATTGCCTCTTTTTTTTTTTATTAGAATTTACTATGCAATTCTATCAATAACTTAGATGGGGGTAAATGGATAATACTATTGTTCTTTTGCTAGAGTACTCGGTATTTATTTAAATAATAGCAATGAGAAATTATTTTTGAGTTTTAACATTTAAATTGAAAATTTATTTTTCTGTTGTTGACTACTTCTATAATGTGAATATTATTAGCTACATAATTTCCCTTTGTCCTGGCACATAGGCAAGAAAGATTGCCTCTTTTTTTTTTTATTAGAATTTACTATGCAATTCTATCAATAACTTAGATGGGGGTAAATGGATAATACTATTGTTCTTTTGCTAGAGTACTCGGTATTTATTTAAATAATAGCAATGAGAAATTATTTTTGAGTTTTAACATTTAAATTGAAAATTTATTTTTCTGTTGTTGACTACTTCTATAATGTGAATATTATTAGCTACATAATTTCCCTTTGTGACTCCGGTACCTTATGCCTGGCCCATTAGAATATTAAGATTATGCTATTAACAAAGAGAACTTACATTTTAGTTACTTAACACAATATAGGTTATTTCTTGCTTAACATTTCAAAACTGGAATAGAATGATGGTTTGCTCTTCTGAGTCCTTCAAAAAATCCAGGTTGGCCAGGGAGTGACCATGCAGCCTATAGATCAAGAAGGAAGAGAGAATCACATGAAAGGTTTTTTATGCTGTTCCATTGACTAACACTTAGTTACATAGTGAAATCTAGCTGTAGGGAGCTTTGGAAATTCAGTCCATCTAGTTGCCAAAGAAGAAACAAGTTTTTTTTTTTTTTTTTTTTTTTTTTTTTTTTTTTATAGAGGCATGTTTTTCTTTATTTGTTTGTTTGCTTGTTTGTTTGTTTTGTTTATACATGCACTGGGTACAGTCAGAAGTGCGGGAGGGTGAGAGAATTCACCAGAGCCAGAGCGGGGAGCAGAGCAGGCAAAAGGACCAAAGTACACTGCTGAGGGGAGCAGCGGGCGGCAGGAGAGGTCTGCGCGCCATGTGGGACCCTCCTCCGGTGGCCGGGGAGCAGCTGGGGATCGAACCGGCGCTGCAGAGGCCGCGGGCAGCTTCGCAACCCAGCGCTCTACCGCTGCGCCACCGGGGAGGCCCTAGAAGAAACAAGTTTGTACTCACCTAACAGTCTACCACAGCCAGTATTCCCACGATATATATTGAAAGTATAAAAGAATATCTTGAGATGGAGAGAGAGGAGGATATTGTGTCCGAATGGAAATGGTTTCTTTATTCTGTAAACATCAAACATTGCTTTAATATTTCATTTTGTTCTTTCAATTAGTATGAAGATTACATGTCATTGCATGCACCTCTTCCACCTGCATCTCCTCAGCCTCCAGAGGATCCTCCTTTGCCAGAGGAGGATGAGGAATTTTCTAGTCAAGAATCAGAATATGAAAGTAGTGATGAAGAAGACCGGCAAAGGTTTGTAATAGCACATAATATTTGTTTAGATTCCAAGAAAAATAGAATACTGAAAAAAGATTCTCTTGCTTTTTTTAATTTTGCATATAATTCATCATAATTTGAAGTCATTACAATTTGTTCTTTCTCAGTCCCTCAATTATACTGATGCCATACAACCATTTTATTATTTATAAGCCCAATACAAATTTAAACTTAACATTAAGTTTAGTTAATGTTAACATTAGTAAATAGCTATGTTTCTATTGATAAATAAGGAAATCTTTCCTTTGTCCCAATGCAGAATGACCAAACTAATGGAACTAGCAAATCTTCAGCCCAAAAGACCAAAAACAATAAAGCAGCGCCACGTGAGAAAAAAGCAAAAAATAAAGGATATGTTGAATGTACCTTCATCTGCCTCACACAGGTAATTTTGTTTTTGACTTTTGTTTTTGAATTTCTGTATGGTTTGTTTAAGCATAACTCACATAATTCCTCAATCCAGGTTTTAGTTCATGTCTGTGTATGTGGTTTATCAGTGACTTCCCACTTGCTAAGTTCACAAGTGTTCATAATTCTCTCATAGTTGACCAGATATGGATAATACCGACTACCCAGCTGTCAAAATTATATCACTTGATTTTATTACCATTTTCTATCTCCTGCCTTACTGCTCTCATTCTCTTATCCTTCCATACTTCTTTTGTGTTTTTCTTTGTTTCTCATTTCTTTTTGTTTTAAATATTGGGTTCTACTTGTTTGTATCCATGGTTATTTTTCTGTTCATTTCTGTTTTCACCTGTTCGAGCCAATAGTTACCAGATCTCTCTCTAGATTTAGCCTCCTAACACCTGAAAACCTCATTTTCTACTTTGTTTTTGCACCAGAGTATCTTATATGCATTTAAGATACTATCCAAAACAAAATTCTTTTACTTTCCTTCACTGTCTTTTTGCCTCCGGCATTCATAGTTCTGACAGTGGCATCATCATGTGTTTATGTGAAGTTATATTAGTTCCTTCTATCTCCACTACCTGGTATCAGACATTTTTAGACTTCAGAGTATGTGATCACATTGAAAAAATATACAGCTTACAACACAGGACCATTAAACTGCCTTTAGATATTTAATGAATCTATGGTAGGGTTTACTGCTAAATATATATGGCTCGGAGCATAATTCCAAAGCTGAATGCCAGTTGCATTTTCAGTGCATTAATGAGCTAATGAGCAGTAAGCCATGTAGACAGATGATTATTATATTACCAATTTTATTACTAATAAAGAGAAGACATAAAATATGAATGAAAGGATTTTGAGGCCACAGGCAGCTGAGAAATTTGGAAAAGAACTTAAGAAGGAGGAGACATTGGAGTAGGCCTGTAAAGGATGAGAGGTAAAAATTAGGTAGGGAGGAGCTATCCAGTATAAATGAAAAAGTAAAAGGAAGGCTCCCATAGATAATTTGTTAGATAGAAATAGGAGCGGATGGTGAAAGAGAAAGCTGGAAAGACATGGAGAGATCGGCCTTAAATGTTAGGTAGTGGTATTTGAATTTATTGATGGGGCCATTGTTACATCATTGACATTCAAAAAAAAGTTAAGAATTTCTTTCAGACTATGTTGCCCTATAATAATCTATCTAGGTGATAAGCAGATTTAGCGTGAGCATCAGGAGTATAGGTGGGAACGAATTTTATTACATAGAAATTAACTTTCCACATCTTTGCATGTTTGTTGAGTACAAAAATGACCAATAAACTGATACTCATTGCATGTGTATTTTGTTTGAGACTATATTAGCCCTTTTGTTTTTTATTCTGATAGACATTTTGTAATCACATGACGCTGGATTGAAATTATGGCTTAAATTTTACTTGTCTGTTGGCCATAATATTCCATGTATTTTAATAACTTATAAGAATTACCATTAATTACAATTCTAATTTTATTTAGTTTTTCTAAGGTAAATTTCCCTTGAACCTGTAAGTAACTTTGTAAATTGAGAAAGGAATTTATTAAAATTATCTTTCATCCATTTTTAAAGGCGTGGGTCTTTCATTTTTGTGGGTTTTTTTTTTTCTTCACGTTAGGTATAAATATGTTTCCCACTTATGTATGTCTTGACACTCTAGTCTTATGCTTTTAATCTCTATAGCAGCATAGAACAATTAAAAATAAATAATACCAGCCAAACTAAATTTTATAATAGCCACATTTAAAAGAATAAAAGCATGAAATTAATGTTTTATATAAATCAATGTATATTAAGATATCACTTCAGCAAATAATTAATATAAAAAGTTACTGAGATGTTTAATTTTTTTTTGTACAAAGTTGTCAAAGCCTAGTACCTATTTTACATTTACACAATATTTTAATTTGGACAGCAACATTTCAAATGCTTATTACCCTCTTCTGGCTAGTGACTACTCTGTTGGTTATATATAGTTGTATATACAGTACAGTACATAAAAATGTTTATATTAAGAATAGGGTGAACTTTTTTGCATCTTGGTAAATATCCTGAAATTTAAAATCAGTAGGCCTCAAGTCCTGTCTGTCTCTTACTGAGTGATATCATGCAATTTCTTACCATCCATTAATCTCAATCTCCTTACCTCTGTGAACTAGGAATTTACATTACCCATATTAGAACACTTGTTAGAGTTTATAGATGTGTTAAATGTACGTCACTTTGTACAATGTTGTGATAGCTTTGTCAGTATTAGCTTTTTAAATTTAAAGTAAATGGAAAATAATGTTTTGTTCGAGATTTTTTTCACAATTACAAAGTAATGCTGTGATTGTTTATAAACAGCAGTCTACATCCTGTACTGTTACCATCAGATGTGTTTGATCAATCACAACCTGTCAGTAATAAAAAAATTGAATTCCATATATCTACTGACATACCAGCTGCAATTAAGAAAGAGTTAGAAAAGGAACAAAATTGTGATGAACCAAACGGTGGTAAGTATATCTAATTCAATGTACTGTGTGAAATTTCTTCTCAGTGAACTTTTTGTGTTTGAATTTAATTTTATGTATATTTCTGTGTGTTAGTGTTTGTGAACTATATTTAAAATATGCAATCAGTTTTTCAGTGTTGCAGAACACTCTCCATTTTGAACTTTTTATATACCTAAAATTGATATTTAAGGGTGAGGTTGTCACTAGACCTTTTATGTTTCTGATGAACTTTAGGGTGAAATTTAACCTGGTGTTTGCTGATTAAAAACATTATAGTTTAAACATTAAAATCAAAAACATAGAAACCTTTGCTTGTTAGATGTGATTTTTTTTTATAAATGTATTATTGATTAGGAAACGATGTGACTATATTCTGAGTTGTAGTTTTCTTATTTTTTTATTCAAAACATATAGAAGATTATTTATTACCAAGCTGTTCTTACATTTTAAGGTAATATACTGAAAGCAGACTTTTCCCTGCTTATTTTAAACAAATTTCCTGGCATTCTTTTGTTCTTTAAATCTTTTTTAATTTCTTAAAAAGTACAAGCTTATAGAAAATGTAATCAGAGCACCAGTACATAATATAAAATTTTAAGAAGTTAACACCTCAAACCCCGCTGCCCTCTAACCCACAAACACTGTAAATATTTTGTGTATATACTTTTTGATCTTGTCCTATACATGGTAGACTGTAATCAGAGATTACACATGACATCTGATTTTTTGGAGTTTTAAGTCTAGTGGAAGTAGTATACTATATCAGAACACAAAAATATATACTGTCCTTTTTTATAGTTGAATTATACTCCATAGTAGTTTACTTAGTCATGCTCTGATGGAAGTTGAAGTTGTTTCCATTTTTTTCTATTGTAGAAAATACTGGAGTATACATTTTTGTACTTGTATCTTAGAGCACTAGTGTGTGAATATAGGACAGAATTCTTCTAAGTACCTGTAGTTTAGTTAATCTCGGCTGATGGCATTCATTAGCAGAATGCCTTTAATAATTTGTAATTTATTGAGTGAATTACAAATTCCTTCTACACAATTGTTATTTCATAGTGGATAGGTAAACAAAATATTTAATTTTTTGAATAAATTACAGTTTAATTTTACACAATATATCATAGTGGATAGGTTAAATAAAATGAACAAAAAACAGAATGCCTCCCTCTCCCCACAAAACATGCATTCTACCGCTCCACTAAGTATTTTCATCAGATGCCTTCTGGCATTTCAAACTATGTCAGAAATAAACTCATTTCTTCCCACTTTGTAGACCCTCAAATATCACATCATTAGAACAGCCATTTGACTGTTTAGCTATTGTCTGTGGTTGTTTTCATATCACAGTGCCACAGCTGAAAAAGTCATGAGAAACATGGTGTGCAAAATTCTAAAGTATTTATTACTGTTTGAACCTTTGCAGAAAAAGTTTGTGTAACCTGTTCTAAAGCATTTGGAAAAGCACAAGTATTTTAGTGCCAAAAGATCTTAAAAATTAAAAAATGGAAAACAAAACTTATTAGATGGAAGGGATTTTTTAATGGTGCATGTTAATGTCAAATCTTAGATTTATTTGCTACTGAATTTGATGCATCCAATACAGGGTTTGGAAAGATCTTCCCAAAACCTAATTTGAACATCACAGAGGAGAATAAAGAGGATTCCGATGAAATGCCATCAGAATGTATCTCGAGAAGAGAGTTGGAAAAGGGAAGAATTTCCAGAGAGGGTAATTTTCATCAATATTACATTTTGTATCCATTTTCATCCTTCAGAAACAAAACAACAAATCCCTTCATATAATTTATCTTAGTTAAGACTTTAAAATATCTCTTTAGCTACTTGTTTTTAAATACCACTTTAGTTTTCAATTCCCATGATTTATTAGGGGAAAAAAAATCTCTTCAATACAGTGTTTCCTGTATATATTTGTTTAGAAAATCTTTTTCTTTCCAAAAACTTTCATATAACATCCTAAATCAGTATAAGCCACAGTCTCAAGTTATATATTGCAAATACAGTTGATACATCATCACATTACTGTGTCTGAGATGCATGCAAAGCAATTGTGTAGAAGATGCTTTAATTATTAGATGATTATAAGTCTGTGTAAGAATAATATAAAGCCTAAATGGTAGTTTTTACTTTTAAAGAATTTTTCATGCTTTCATACATGTTAGTATCAATGCAGATTTTTGATGAGTATTTTTATCCTATTAGTAACGTTGCTATATTTCTGGTTGTATCATTTTTTTTATTAGGCAAACTTTATCTACTTAATGCATATTTTGTCTACTTAATATTTGAATGTTGCAGATTTTATTTGAAGAATTGATGAAAAATCTTAATTTTATATCCTGTTTTGTTTTTGAATAAGAAATGGAAAAACTTTCGGTTTTCAGAAGTTACGAACCTGGTGAAGCAAACTGTAGAATTTATGTGAAGAATTTAGCTAAACATGTTCAAGAAAAGGTAAATATAAATGTATGAATTGGTTTTATTATTTTACATTTTTTCCTGGACTTACTTATTTGTCTTTTTCTTAATGAAATTCTAGGACCTTAAATATATTTTTGGAAGATATGTTGACTTTTCTTCAGAAACGCAACGGATAATGTAAGTGAGTCATACCCTCAAATTATATTTTGTTTTTATCTATTGCAAATTAACCTTTTGTCATTCTGACATTTTTCCTTTAGAGATAAAAAATATTTTAAAAATTGCTCTTATTTGTGTAACTAATCTCAATGTCTAAAGCAGAAGTCAAAACTTCTGTGTCAGAGGGCAGATAGTAAAAACTTAGTTATATGGTAAAATTGCTTGGTTCTGTCTTGGTAGCATATTCATGACTGAGTTTCAGAAAAGCTTTGCTCATGGACATCATAAGTTCTGGCCTCAATCACTAGCTTTAAAGCAGTAATTCTCAAAGTTTAACCTGCTTAAGAATGAGCTGGAGAGCTTCATAAGATAGTTTCCTGTATCATACCTAGACAATCTGGTTTTCTAGGTTGAAGTAGGGACCATGAATTTATGCTTTTAACAACTCATGGATGCTGATCCAAAGACCACACCTAGGAAACTATTGTTTTAATAACTCACCACAAATAGATAGCAGTCAGAGAAAATTTTTCAGATTCCTATGCTGGCAGCAATTTCTTTTATTTCTTATTTTTTTAAATATATTTTTTACTTTTTATTGAAAAAGAAAAACACCTTACTATTTCACTTCCGTGGTATATAGAGAAAACAAATGGATAAACTTAATAAAATGAGAATAAAACTTTTGTTGAACTCTAAGGCTGTTACCAAAAGAGAAGGGGGAAGCTGGGTGGGTAAACTGGGACAATGGGAACAATTATATGATGAAGGATAGAATTGAATTTTTAGTAGTGAACATTGCATTATAACATTATGTAAGTTTCAATCTGAAACATATTATTATAACATTATAACATAAGTTTCAGATATATTGTAACATATATTTTTATGTTATAACATATATAACATATATTATTATATTATTGTAATATAATTATATTATTATATTTTATTATATATTATATTATTACATATAATGTTATGATATTAATATATTATAACATATTATTATAACATAAACATATTATTATAACATTATAACATAAGTTTCAGATTTAAGAGTTAGAACTTAGAGTTCAAAAGCTTTATTCTCATTTTATTAAGTTTTCCCATTTGTTTTCTCTATATATCAAAGAAGTGAAATAGTAAGGTGTTTTTCTTTCTTAATCTGGCTTTCCTAAGCATAATGTCTTTAGGACCATCCATGTTGTTGCATCTGCCAGGACTTCATAGCTTTTCTTTATAGTGAAATTATATTCCATTGCGTATATAAACCATATCATCTTTATCCATCTGTAAGCTTATGGAATGTTGGTTCTTCCCAATTCTTGGCTATTGTAAATAATGCTACAATCAATATGGGAGGTGCATATATCTTTTCAGATTAGTGTTTTTGTATTTTGGGGGTAAATGCACAAAAGTGGCATAAAAAAACTAGATCATGAAATTCCTAGTTTTAAACTATAAGGAATGTATGTACTGCTTTTCGTAATGGGTCCACTGGTTTACTTTGCCAAAAACAATGTATCATGGTTCCCTTCTCTCTGAGTTCTCTCTTAACATTGTTTTTTTTTTTTTTTTTTTTTTTGAATAATAACCATTCTCAGAGGTATAAAGTAATGTATCCTTGTTTTGATTTGCATTTTCCTAACAATAAAGGATGGTGGACATCTTTTCATGTGCCTGATGATCATATATGTATGTCTTTTTTGGCTAGATATCTATTTAGATGTATTTTTCCCATTTTTTTCAAGTGAATGTTATTTACTTGCTTTATTGTTCAGTTTTATATGTTCTTTGTATATCTTGGCTATTAATCCCTTGTCACATGTAATGTGAGTGACTATCTTCCTCCATTCAGTAGGATATCTTTTCATTTTGATGCCCGTTCCATCCACTTTGCAGAAGCTTTTTAGTTTGATATAGTTCCATATGTTTGTTTTTGATTGTGTTTTACTTGGGATTATAGTCAGTCCCCAAATGCTTTTCTAAGACTGATACCAGAGTATGTTGCCCATGTTCCTTCGATGTATTTTGTAATCTAGGTTCTTATATACAAGTTTTAAACCATTTTGAATTTTTGTATATAGTATTAAGATGGTGGTCTAGTTTCATTCTTTTGCAGGTGGCTCTCCATTTTTCCCAACACCACTTTTTTTTTATATTTTATAGCCTGCTACCTTACTATTTTCATTTATTTTTGCTGGTAACTTTACTGGAGTCTTGGGGTTTTCTTTTTTTTTTCTTTTTAAAGTTTACCGGTAGAGGGGGTTGGAAAAAATTAAAAAAAAAAAAAAAAAATCCACTGGTTCCTTGTTTGCTAACATGCCCCTCTAGTTCTTGTTATTGAGCCCACTGGCTCCTAGTTTGCTAAACTGTTCTTCTGGTTCTTTTTATTTATTAGTCTTGGGATTTTCTGTATTTATTATGATGTTATCTGTAAATAGTGATCATATGGTATAGGCATTTTTACACTGACAGCAGTATTTTAAATTGTTCAACACATTCCCATTCACTTTTATCAAAATTGTTTGACATTCTTTGAATCAAAACCACTCTTTGTTCCTTAACTTCTAGGTTTGATATACGCTTGATGAAAGAAGGTCGAATGAAAGGACAAGCTTTTATTGGACTTCCAAATGAAAAAGCAGCAGCAAAAGCCTTAAAGGAAGCTAATGGATATGTTCTTTTTGGAAAACCTATGGTGGTTGTATCCTTTTAATCAGTTTATTCCAAGATCGTAGTTTTTAGGAGAAAAGGGTATAATTGAAACTAATTTTTGTATTATCCTTTAGAAATGTCAACCACTGACCTTCTAGCTTTACATACTCAGTTATAAACATATTATGGCTGAAGCAGATTATGGTGTTACTTAGATCTTTATGGGAAAATAAAGGACCATAAGATTATTAAAATTCACAGTCTAAGTGTCAACAGTCTAAATTATTATTAACAAAAGTACATACTCATGTTAATCAGAAATAAAGACATAATTAATTGTAATTTTATTATTTTATATTTTATTCTGTTACATTTTCTGTTTGAGAATTTCAGTAACCAGAATGTATCATTAATCTTTCTACTTAATAGTTAATGTAGTTTCCAACTATAAATCAGTAGGACACATACATTAAAAAAAATAGACAAATGATTAGGAGTAAGAAGACAAATATAAGAGATAAATTGAAAAACTGTGGTCCTATATTATGTTAGTTCTTGATGATTATCTTAAAAAGATAACTTTCATGTTTGTGAAGAAAACCTTAATTTTAAAATACAAGCAATTTGCTCGATCTGCTAGACCAAAGCAAGATTCTAAAGAAGGAAAAAGAAAGTGTTAAAAATTATTAAAGGTAAGTGTCGATATAACATGATAAAAGGACAGTATGTTCTTGAGATAAAATTAAGGATAAAATCCTTATAGAGAAGTAATTTGGTTACTAAGGTTTTTAAAGCAGCTATCCATCCATCATTCCCTCCCTACATCCATCCTTCTTTTTATCATTTTATGGAGTTCCATAAAACTTCAAGCTTATAACTATAAACTAAAGCCCATTTGTATGTAAAATTAAGTTTGTAGGAAAAATTTTAAAATGAGAATGTGTCTTTCTTTACTTTGTCTGCCTAAAGCAGTGTTTTTTAAACTTTTACCATGTTGTAATCACCTAGAGGGTATGTTAAAACAAACACAGATTGCTAGAATTTCCCCCACCCAGAGCTTATGATTTACTATATCTGGGATGGGGGCCTTGGGTTATCAGCCATCTCAGTTTTCCTGTGACCTGGTTGGAGCCAGGGTTGTGGGGGTGCTGGTAAGGGGGGTGTTTAAGTTCTAACACTGAAAAGGTGTCCACTACCAAAAGTGTCCACTACCAGGACAAGTTGATCACCCTTGGTAGGACCTATGGATGTGCGTTAAAATTGCTAATTGCACACTCCACAAATACTTGTGTATTTTTTGTGTAATAAAATATTTTGCCTTTCAAAAAAGTAGTTTTAATGCATACTTGAGTAGCGTAATGATTACAAATGGTAGAATTAAAGTGTATGTGACTGATTTAAGAAAGATGAGTGGAAATATATTCCTTTATTTTTATTTTATGTCTTTCTGCCTTTGTAAACTGGAAGAACATGAAATAGCTAGATCAAAATTAGTAGAGTTAAACTGAAAAAATAATATATAAAATTTTGCCTTTTTTTTTTTTTTAATTCCTTTTGTGAGATGTCTTTAATATTTGAAGTTGTAGAATATCTATGCTGGTGCAGTCAGAATTCTTACGAATACCTTAGAGAATAGTTAAACAATTTTGATTGTGTGTTAAAGGAAATCATTTATTTGTAATTCTAACATAACAAGTAAGAAGAAAATTAAAATGCGTTCTGCTGTTCTTCTTTAGAAGCATTCCTGCGTAAATACTGCTGTGTATCCTTTCTTGTCGTATCCTTTTTGGGGGTAGTGTTTTTTGTTTTTCCTAGAAATGTTTTGTCCCTCTCTCATCCATTGATCCAGATTAAACATTTCTTTTTTACAATTTATTCAGATGATATTTCTAAAGTTACTGTGTTGATTGAAGAAATCTTTTATGTTTTTTTTTCTTTTTTTTTTTTTTTTAAGATTTGTTGCTGAATTTTCTATGTGTCCTTTAGATTATGTAATTTTTTCAGGGAAAGTTAGTGAATCAGGTCAACTTATTTGGAGAATGTGTGCATTTGCTTTGACACTGAATTTAGTCTTGTTTATTATATTTAGGTATTTCCTAAACCTAATTCAATAACGTATTACTTTCCATTTTATGATGTATCTGGTTTAGGTGGTCTGTGTAACATGTTGTAAAATTTGATTGCGGAAAGGTTTTTTCAGTATACATATATTGAAAATTAAAGTAAATGGAATTCTGTGTAAGTTCCAAATAAGAGTAGTAGACCTTACTCTGAGGTCTTACTGAAATCTCCTTTAAGATACAGAGGAAGTAGAAGTATCTGTTTTCCTTTTTTTTCTAAACAAACCAACCAAAAGGAATAAGAGTTGACTCAGGGTAGCACAATATGTGAAAAGAAACAATCCTATATGTAAGTATGTAAGAAGAGTAGTTTACAAGGTTGGTGATCAGAAGCAACTGTAACAGAGGTACTCAGTCTTGAACTGTACACTGGAATGACCTAGGAGATTTTTCTTTTTAAATGATGATTTTTATAAAATAAAAACATAACAGCCTGAAAATATATACTGATGTCTAGGTTCTTCTCCTGGAGTTTTGAGTTAATTAGTCAAAGTGCAGCATGGATATTAGAATTTTTCAAACCGCCCAGCTGTAATTCAATATGCAACCAAAGTTGAACAGCACTGAGGACAGATTTTTGTACATAAAGATTCCTGGACTCTATCCTAAAGCTAATAATTTTGAATCTCTGGGAATAGAACCAAGAAACTAATTTGAAAAGGTTCCTGTTAGGTCTAGGTTCTGAAGGACTAATTACATCAAGATACTGTTTTGTTAGATTGAAATGGTTAAGTACCTAGTATCAACTTAGCCCTCTAGTGTTAGAGCCTCTACATTTCTTTTTTTACAAATTATGCTATTAGTGTTATTAAAGACAAAATTCAAAATTGTGTCAATCATTGTCAACCTACGAGGACTAAAAATTAGGGATATTAAAGATGCTATTTTTGATTTCTGTAGGCACAATTAAAATGTTTTATTTAATGTTATAAATGAGTTTCTGTATTTATTTAGATAATTAAGAATTTTTATATTGACATGATTCACTAATTTTCTAAATATGAGTTTTTTAACTTTTAGTTCATTGAAAACTAATGACTGTTTTATAATCATGATTTTTTAATGGACTTTTATGGTGTTTTAGGTTCCTTTTGAATTCCATTATCTTTCAAGTACTTTCCAACTTTGAGAAGAAGAAATCACCATCTGGACTATGGATCTGTGCGTAACAGCTTTTAAAATGTGTTTAAACATTTAATCTATATGCATTTAAATCAGCTTATTGGCAGTACATCGCATGTATTTTAATTATCTTCTTTATATATAATAAATTATTTTCTTTCCAATAAAAATGTGTTCTTAATTTTTCATTGTTTCATACATCTAGGAAAGTATAATTTGATAAGTATACAAATTTAAGGGACTTTTACAAGACTATAAACTTTCTTGATGATTACAAACATTGCCCTTTCTCATTGTTACCTGGATACCAGTGTACTTACACACTTCTTAGTCTTATTTTTTAAGAAGTGGCTTTGTCTGTCTAGCTCTGAGTTGTCTTTGTGTTTTTTTTTTTTTTTTTGCTTGTTTTGTTTAATAATGAAGACTATTTCACAGCTTAGAGAATTTGTATCCTTAAAATTAATTTACTGTTCCATTTTTGTGCCCCTAAATCTATCAAAATATCACTCAAAGGTGTTTCCCATATAAAATTATTTTTTCCTTTAGTGAAATTTGTTTCATCTGTGTAAGTAGGAAAACTTTGGTATATTTGTTCTTTAATTTATTGATACTATCCTGTGAGTAATAACAGCTTTCTCTTAAAATCACAGGTCAGGGCTCTAAGATGTTGTTGAAATATTGTTGCGAATCATAACTCCTTCCCTTTTCCTCATAGCATTATGAAATAGAATAATGAGAATATTAAAGATAGAAATTAAAAGTAGTATGGAGAAATGAACCCTACATTGTACAGATGTTTAGACATCAAAAAAGTAAGAAACAAGGGCCTCCCCCTGATGGCGTAGCGGTTGAGCGCTGGGCTGCAAAGCTGCTCCCCTCAGCAGTGTACTTTGGTCCTTCTGCCTGTTCTGCTCCCCGCTCTGGCTCTGGTGAATTCTCTCACCCTCCCACGCTTCTGACTGTACCCAGTGCTTGTATAAATAAATAAATAAGTCTTTAAAAAAAAAGTAAGAAACAATAAAGAATAAGGAATAACTAGAAGCCCTATGAAGAAAGTATGTCAGAGTAGGAAGTGGTAATCAAATGTGTCAGACATGCTGCTAATGCCAGAAAGATGAGTTCTGAGGGTTTAACATTGGGTTTAGCAACAGTTGTGACCCAGGCAATGGGATCTGATGAATGGAAGAAGTGAGAAGAGAATGGTAGAGAAGAATTTAATATAGTAAGAATTGAAGACAACTCTGCTAAGAAGTCTTGCTTCCAAAGGGAAGCAATAGACTTCCAATAGACTTTCTTCCCTGTTAGTATAGAAGAACATAGAATCAAGAAGGTTTTGTTTTGTAAATATTGAAGGGACTTCCCTGGTGGCGCAGCAGTTGAGTGCTGGGCTGCGAAGCTGCCGGCAGCCTCTGCAGCACCGGTTCGATCCCTGGCCACCAGTGAGGGTCCCACATGGCACGCAGACCTCTCCTGCCACGCCCGCTGCTCCCCTCAGCAGTGTATTTCGTCAGTCTGCCTGTTCTGCTCTCCGCTTTGGCTCTGCTGAATTCTCTCACCTTCCTGCACTTCTGACTGTACCCAGTGCTTGCATAAATAAATAAATAAATCTTAAAAATATATATATATATGAATATTGAAGATAAAGCAGGCTGGTATGTGAATAGGACTTATCTAGTGGGGGATGGGGATGGAAAGCGTGATGCAATTATTGTTGAGCCATAGATAAGGTAAGCCGAAGAAGTGCTAGTTTTAAACAGGTAACAACTCAGTAATAGGAGGAAGAAGAACAAATTGTGTAGGTGTAAATATTTGTAGTTAGGAATATATAGTAGGAACATGGTAAAGGTTTTGTTGTATTTTCTCTTTATTAAAGAAAGTAATAAGGTCATGGAAAAGTGAAATAGAATGCAAAGTCATGATGTAGAGGAAAAAGAATTAGGAGTGTAAAGTGAAGAAAGAAGTTACAATATGGAAAGTGGGAGAGTAGACTTAGGAGAATTGCTAGATAGTACTTAAAGTGCTTACTTAAAGTCTGTGGTTAAATGTTCTTCTCCAGTTACCTTTAGTCTTGGTGCTATCACTGAATAGATACAGTCAAATTTAGCAAGAGTTGAGATTTTCCTAGGGAGAAGGGAGAGAATGTTGATATAGTCAAGAAAATGATTATAAAGGCAGGGCATGGAAAGTAAAGGAGTCTGGGTAAAGAGCAAAGTGAGAAAATGAAGGAGGTAGAAACAGTGGAGACATGATCAACTGTAGTTTGCAGTACGGTTGAAGATGCGTTGCAGTTCCCAGATAGGAACTGGACATTTTAGCAGTGGAAAGAAAGGGTAAGGTGACTGAAATGCATAATATTAGAGTTACAGTAATTCATGACTAAGTTTTAACATGTGGGCATAGTTCTTGAGTGAAAAGGGCGATAAAATAAATAAATCCATGAAATTGAGAGACTAGGTATTGAAATAATCACCTAAATAGAATTTGAATTTTCAAGAATTGTGACAGAAGTAGTTAAGTCATGAACTAGTCAAAATTTTCTGAGAGTGTCTTTCAATGTTGAGAAATGCAAAAAAAAAAAAAAAAAAGTTCTAAAATTTTGAGTTCTCATTCTGCCAGTGATGGGAAATTGCAGCTAAGAAATGGTGTATCACAGTGGATTTATAGAGATAGGTTCTAAACGTAAAATTTTTTCTGTAATTCATTGCTTTATGACCTTGCATAAGTTCTTTATCTTCTATTTAATTTTCCAATGGGGTATTGTAATTTTATCAATAATAGTAAGAAATATTATATAAATAATATCTACCTTAAGGTTATTATAAAGATGAAAATAAAATACTTAAAACTAATCTAGTAAATATATGTCAGGTTTTCCATCAACATTAGTTTGTAGTTGTGGGTGTGGTAGTCTCAACTCACCCAAACCCCTAAGGTGATATAAAAATTTTAAAATCTTAGACAAAACTTCAGTCATTTTTCCACATTGATTATTACTAAGATGCCCAGTACTTCTTCCTTGCCATGCTTGAAACATGAGATGATTTAACAAATTTTCAAATTTAGGGCCTCCCTGGTAGTGCAGTGGTTGAGCGCTGGGTTGCGAAGCTGCCACAGCCTCTGCAGCGCCAGTTCGGTCCCCGGGCACCGGCGAGGGTCCCACATGTGGCGCAGACCTCTCCTGCCTCCCGCTGCTTCCCTCAGCAGTGTACTTTGGTCCTTCTGCCTGTTCTGCTCCGCACTCTGGCTCTGGTGTATTCTCTCACCCTCCTGCACTTCTGACTGTACCCAGTGCTTGTATAAATAAATAAATCTTTAAAAAAAAAATTCCAAATTTAAAATTAAATGTCTAATCATTAACCCTCTTTTTTGGATAATGGTAAACATCCCCAGCCACATGCCGACTTCCTAATTCGAGTATATGACCACATAAGTCCAATTAGAAGGATTTCTAGGATGTGTACAGAAAATTTGTTTTTTTCTTTTATAATGTATAACTATTTTTTTAAAAGATTTGTTTTTTATTTATACAATTGCTGGAGTACAGGCCAGAGGCATGGGAGGGTGAGAGGATTCACCAGAGACAGAACAGGGAGCAGAGCAGGCAGAAATACTGAAGTACACTGCTGAGGGGAGCAGCGGGCGAGATAGGAGAGGTCTGCCGTGCCATATGGGAATCTCCCTGGCCCGGCCTGGAATCAAATCTATGCTGCAGAGACTGTGGACAGCTTCACAGCGCTGCGCTCAACCTGCTGCGCCACCGGGGAGGCCCTGTAATGTGTAACTATTACTGGAACTGCTAATCATTATCCTGACAACTACCTCATTATCATTACCCATGAGTTAAAAATAAGAGTCATCATGGAGATGGGAAGTACTGATAAAGTGAGCCTCTAGAAAAAACCTAAAAGCTAGTCTAACAATGAATTTTATTTTTTTTAAAGATTTATTTATGCATACAAGAACTAGGGTACAGGCCAGAGGTGTGGTAGGTGAGAGGAGTCACCAAAGACAGAGTGGGGAACAGAACAGGCAGATAGACTGAAGTACACTGCTGAGGCGAGCAGCGGGCGAGTCAGGAGAGGTCTGCTGCGCCATGTGGGTTGCTCCCTTGCCGGCCCCTGGGATAGAATTCTTGCTGCAGAGCCTGCGGACAGCTTCACAGCGCTGCGCTTAACCCCTTGTGCCACCAGGGAGGCCTTAACAATGAATTTTAAACATTAAACACTTTCTTTTTTAACTTTTGCTGGAGAGATTTGATATTCTTAACTGGGCAAGGTTGGATCAAATAGGTCACCCCTCTGGTGAGGAATGAAGTTTCATATAAGCCATATGAAATGAGAGTTGGAAAGGCTTATTCTCCAAAAGAAAAGCATAGTAGTATGAAATGCAAAGACATGGGTTATTTGGCTGCCAGTAATAAATATTTCACTACAATGTGTAATGTGTAAAACTTCTTGTTCAGGAGGGGTTGTCTGTTTATGGCATCTGTAAAAACTGGGATGAATGTGAGATGATTAAGGCACCTAAGGGGTAATGTAAGGAGAAATTGAGTAATTCCAGTGCTCCTCACTTCCTGTCATTCTACCTCCTACTGTTGGTAACATGAACCAAGTCAGCACAATTCTGATTAAGTGAATCATCAATCAAAAAACAGTATCATTCAAATTGCTGGTATTAGATGACTCGGACAGTATTTGCTATGGAAATGAGACTCCTTACAATCAATATCAAGGGATATTAAGACTTTGAAAGGAAGTCAAGGAAAGGAATCAATATCTTTTAAGCTCCTAAAATTCAAAAGGCACTGAACTAAGTATTAAGGTAAGTAATTTGATCTCACTTTAAGAAGTGAACACTTCCCTTTGTGATAATGGAGAACTTGTTTAATAAATGTCAACTGTAAGTGAATTAATTAGGCCCTTTGTTAAATTTAATTTCCTTTGCCAATGCACATGAAACAAAAAATAGTAACTGCAGTAGGATTATTCGATAGAGATAGTAGCTAGCCACATTTTTTAGGTATATAAGAGTGAGAACTGATGATTATCAGGAGAGGTAGAGTCCTATGCCCAAGAACTTAAGACATCATATATTCTATTCTGGCATTTCTTGAAAGCAATGTGAACTAGAGAAAGAACATTCACATAAAGCCCACTAGGAGTAGAGATTCCAGTAGGACATCTGAAATAACCAATACTACCAAACACTGGAAAAGTGCCAGGAAAGAGAGACTTTGTATCCAATAAACATAAACTAATGCATGAGGAAAATCTAGGAGAGCAACCAGACTGTAGAACATTTATTATTAGTATACAAACACCTGCAGGAGATTCTATCCAGTTAAAAATATCAACTTAAAAAAGGGGATTAAGCTATGCAAGGAGCAATTTTAAGTTTTTAAATTATGAGATATTACCAGTATACCACTTACATACTACTTATATACCTGAATCTTTGAGAATTTGAGGAGAAAATCTAGACAATAGATTGTTATATAAAATTTTTCAGAACTTGGAAAAAGACACACAAAATACCATTACATGTTACTCATGAAGACAAAGCATTGCTTGCTGTGGAAGAAAGGATGGAAGAAATTGAGGTTTGTAATTCCCCCACCCTCACCCTGTGAAGTAACTTCCAGAGGAATAAAAGAGCTCTTTATTTATTTTTTCCTTTTCCCATTTGGGAAGCAGGCATTAAAGGCTAGACATTCCCAAAAACTGCATAGATGGGAAAATTAGAAACTGATCACAAATGTCTAGGGAAAAGCTCAAAGATTGGAGAAGCCTAGGTTTGAACACACATGATGGGCCCTTGGCACAGAGACAGCCTAACAATTTTTTAAAAAGGCATTAGACTAGAGGAAAGTAAAGAACCTGAATTCTAGAGTTACCATACTGTTAAATTCAAATGTTCAGTTTTCAACAAGAAATCACAAAGCATACAAACAAACTAAAGCATGGCCCCTTCAAAGGAAAATAACATACCAACATACATTTTCCTGAAATCTGATAGCAGATATACTAGAAAAAGATAAGGACTTTGTTTTTCATGTTAGGTTTAGTGAAGTTAAATTGGCTTACATCCTATCTGCTTTGGAGGTTATAGGTTTAAATCTCTACAAATAAATATTTTCATGCCATAAACCCACCACCAGTGCCCTAACAATCAGCATGTTGATTTGGGTCTCTTCTGTTTTAAAGATGCTCAAACTAATCGAAGGTGAAAATGTAAAAATAAATTATGAACAGAACGAAAATAGTAAACAGAAAACCTAGAAAGATGAATATGAAATTCTGGAGTTAAAAAGTATAATAACTGAAATGAAAATTTCACTACAGGGATTCCAAGGAAAATGTGAGTAGTAGGCAGAAGAAAAAATAGCATGATGGAAGACAGGGCAATGGAAATCAAATCTGAGGTACAGAAAAAAAAGATTGAAGATAAGTAATGTGTGTAATCTTAATACATGTGGAAAATCTCTTGTAACAACATTCACAAATTTCAGCAACAAGAGTGCTACATCTTTGGAGAATTATTTTATCAATATAAATTCTGAGCAATTAAATCAATGTTGACAAATTCCAAAAGATCAAAATGCTAAATAATAAATTTATTTTCTGACCAAAATAGAATTAAATTCTATGTAGCAAGGTATTTAGAAGATGTTCCCAACTATATAATTCTAAGTAGCCTATGAATTAAAAGAGAAATCACAAGAGAAATTAGAGAAAAAAAAATTGTAATGAGTGTACAGAATATCAAAATTTAGAACACTTTCCAGATCATTTTCTGAAGTCAGCATGACCCAGATGTCAAATCCTGGCAAAGACTTTAAGAAAACTATATTACAAATACAAACCAATATCCCTCCTGGGGCCTCCCTGGTGGCGCAAGGGGTTAAGCATCATACTATGAAGCAATCCGAAGCCTCTGCAGCAGGAGTTCGATCCCTGGCCCACCAGGGAGCAACCCACATGGCGAAGCAGACCTCTCCTGTCTCGCCCACTGCTCCCCTTAGCAGTGTATTTTGGTTAGTCTGCCTGTTCTGTTCCCCACTCTGTCTCCGGTGAATCCTCTCACCCCCTGCATCTCTGGCCTGTGCCCCAGCTCTTGTATGCATAAATAAATAAATCTTTAAAAAAAAAAAAATCCCTCCTGAACAAAGACAACAGGGGCAAATCAAATTCAGCACTATATAAAATAGGATACTAAATCATATCCCAAATGGAGTTAATTCCAGAAATGTTTTTTAATCATTCAAAAATCAGATGTGATTCACAACTTTGTCTCAAAGGTTACGGAAGAATATTCAACCTGTTCACAATCATGATCAAAAGCAACTATGAAGAAAATACTCTTATCTGATGAAGACACTTGAAAAATTCTTAGAGCTAATATTCTTGATGATAAAAAGATTGGATATTTCTGTATCAGTTTGCTAGAGCTGCCACACAAATATACCACATACTGAGTGACTTATAAAACAGAAATTTATTGTCTCATATTTTTAGGAGCTAGAATTTCAAATTCAAGGCACTAGCAGGGTTGATTCCTTCTGAGAGCTATGAAGGAAGGACCAGTTCCAGGCCTCTCTCCTCGGCATATATATGGATGACCAGTTTCTCCATGTTGTCACATTATCTTCCATTTTTGAGCTTCTCTTTGCCCAAACTTATTTTTTTGTAAAGAATTTTGTCATATTGCATTAGGACACTACTTAGTGACCTCAAGCAAAAATAACATTAAAAAATAACTTCAAAAAACAAAGTAACTAGCAATAAACTTAATAAACTGTAAAATCCATGTACTGAAAGCTTTAAAACACTGCTGGGAGAAAGATGCTCAACCTTATTATTAGGAAAATGAAAATTAAAACCATAATGAAATATCACTTCACTCACAGGAGAATGTCATGACTAAAATTAGAAAAAACAGCAATGCCAAGTATTGTGAAACCCGGGGAGTAACTGGATTACTTTTAATAATTGCTAGTGGAAGTCCAAAGTGGTGTACGCATTTTGGAAATAATGTGGTAACCTTTATAAACTTTGCACTCATTTATAATAAGAACCAGCAATTTTACTTCTAGATATTAACACAAAAGATATGAAAATATATCCATTAACATTTTGTTCATCCTTATTTAGGATGAACTTAAAGCTGCATATGGGTGCAGTTTTTATCATAATAGCCAAAAAATAAAAACACCTATCACCATGTGGTTAGAAAAGCATGTTACATTCATACACACCTAGCAGTAAAACAAACAAACAAACAAGAAAAAAACTACTATAATTAAGGTGCAGACTAGAAGCTGGTTAGTTTTCCTTCTTAGTCTGCTAATTAAGTTTATATTCCAAACCACTTCTTCCCCTAGCCGACCCTCATGCCCCTGGCCCCTGTATACCAGTACTAATAGTCCCAAAACCAGAGACTTTGTTTAATTTCCAGTCATACTTAACTAACTTGGCACTATCACCTTCTAATCTGCCTTTTAGGTTATTTTAGCAAACTTTTGTTTTTTTTGCTATAGATTTATATAAATGGTTCTGTGAGGGGTGGGGAGGTGTAGCTTATTGTGGGAGAGGATATTATAGAAAGAGATGGGAACACAGAAAAAACAAATTTTCTCTGGCAAGTTACAGTATAATCAGAGAGAGCAGGGCAGCCAGTTGAGCAGGAGAGTGGAGACTGGTTTGTTCAGTAAATAGGCGTAATAGTGGCCAACTTGGTGAATTTCTGGAGCCGAGATTAAATTTTTCGTGTAAATTAGATTGGAGAATTTGGATGGGGGCACAATAGCACACATTGAAAAGAAGTTGATGATAGCAAATCTATAAAGTTCCAAGTTCAGCATTTCCCTTTAATTAAAGAGAAAGCAAAACCACAAGTCTGTGTTTTTACCGGAAAAGATTGACCAGTTAATTGGAGAGGTTGCTGATTTCAAGAAGATGATGTGGTAAGTTATTTTAATGTTTTGGGGGGGTATCATATACTCTCCCCCCACACACACACTGTTTTTTTTTTTTTAACCTTGAAGTGGTTTCTGTCATATGATTTGATATAGTTCAGTTTCACAATCTATTTTAGGTTTGTTGACAACTCACTTCAATTTCCCATAGCACAAAATGTACTGTTTATGTTTGAAAGGCTTCTGAGCCTTGGCTCAAAATATTTCCCTCATTTCAGAAATCTCGTAAGCAAACTTGATTATCTTTGCCTTCTTTACGCCAGCCTTCACTTGTGAATTATCCTGAGGTCAGGTTCATTTTTTTGTGTGGAGGGAGTGCTGGGGGCTATGAGGGAGGCTGTTGGGTGATAAGATACTGTTTTGAGAAAACTGTACTAATTCATTGTAAAATTTAGAGAAATCATGAGCTATTTCAGTACAACAAACCACAAATGACCAAGTACTATAGTAACAATACTATCTAGAATGTCGAAAACTGAGAAAATAGAAAAAAATGAAAACACTTAGAGATACACATGTAATAAAATAACAAGTATAGATGTCACATTGGAGGAATTTATATTAAGATGTTAATATTTTAATAAAACTGCTATAAAGATTATGGTGGATCTAGACTAATAGTTACAAATGACAACATAATTTGTCTTTTCTTGGTTAATGGTAATTCATTTACATGCTAAAAAAAATCATAGTATCTGCCAGAGTTATGAGGTTGCTTTGGGTGGACAATAATAACTTTGTAAATAACTGATCCTTATACAGTTAGGTGATATTTACATTGGTAGAAATGAAGCTATAGAAACAGATACAAGTTTCCTGACTTCTTGTTTAATAATTTAATATAGCTCTTTCACTTTATTTACATCATGACTTTGGTGTGATTTAAGTAGACTTTAAGCCAAATGACTAACTTTATGGCTTTCCCTGTGTTAAGAGAAATCCTAAATTTATACTAGAGTTTATGCTCTAAAATGGCATTCATATTGTGGACATACAATTAAATAACAAATGCCTCTTATATAATATTGTTTGAGGAAAAAAAACTTGTGAACATCAGAAACTAACAACTCTGTGGACACCTGAGTTAAAAGTTTTTTCTTCTTAATACGGGATATGCTGGGGCCTCCCTGGTGGTGCAAGGGGTTAAGACGCAACCTATGAAGCTGTCTGCAGCCACTGAAGCACAAGTTTGACCCCCTGACTGGCCAGGGAGCAACCCACATGGTGCAGCAAACCTCACCTGTCTCTACTGCTGCTCCCCTCAGCAGTGTATTTCAGTGTATTTCAGCCTTTTCTGTTCCCCACTCTGTCTCTGGTAAATCCTCTCGCCCCCATACTTCTGGCCTGTACCCCAGCTCTTGTATGCATAAATAAATAAATCTTTAAAAAAATATACTGGATATGTTTTATTCACATTTCAAGCATAAAATCTCCTTACTGAGTATTTCTCTGTGGACCTCCTTGGTGGCCTAGGGATTAAGTCTCAGCACTCTCACTGATTAGGCCTGAGTCCAATCCCCAGCCAGGGAGCTAATCCACATATAGTGCAGCAGACCAATCCTGTCTCACCTGGGGCTCCTTTTAGCAATGTATTTCAGTAAATCCACCTATTAAACACCTCACTCTCTCTCTGGAGAGTCCTCTCACCCTGTGTACCTCTGGCCTACACCCCAGTTCTTCTATGCAAAAAGTAAAAAGGAGTATTTCTTTGTGGTTAGAATATCAAGTATCCTATTTCATATTGTTATGGAATTTCCAAGATGGTCTCATTTCACACATTATGGTATTCACTAGAATTATAGAATAAAAGGAAATTTCCTCTCTATAGACTGATGCAGGAAATATGAAATATGTGCATAATAACACTGATGTTCCTATTAATAAGTGACTAGTTTCTCTGATGAAAACCATTTTAGGATAATTATAATGAGAAGCAGACATAACAACTATTTCAAGTTCTTGTTTTATATTTTTGTCATTATGCCAAAGACATCAAGAATTTGCTTACAAATTTTACTTCACAAGATGTAAATAAATGTTAGTTGTTTGAAAGTGTCTCCTATGGGGTTTATAAGTCTTTATATTGATTGAGATTCTATGAGAAAGCATATAAAAATGTCTGATCTTTGGCAGGAGCTCATTATATTTTTGTATAGCTGCACCTATGCTGGGGTGCTCCCAATTATGCTACAAGTTATCGCTAATTTTAATAACATCCTGAAATGCATTATGAAAAATATTTGCGATCATAAATACAGTTCCAGCTACTGATGAGGCAATGAGAGAAGTATATTCCAAAACCAACACATGATCTACCAGAAGCTCTAAAGAGGTTAAAAGAAAGATAAAATGTGGAAAAAATTGCAGGTGGGAAATATTTCTAGTCCCTCCTTATCACCATCTGTTCCTCTGGAGAATATGAAAATACTTCTGGGAGACAGGAAGTTAGTAAAATTTGGGAAGGGTGGAATGGAAAAACGATGTCTAATTGATAATAAATGAAGGTAAGAAAGAAACATGAGTATTTTGAGAAGTACTAGCGACAAAAACAGTAATAGTTATAAAAACTTTATAGCAATCAAATGTATTGAGCTTTTAATGTATCCATGCATGGGATAGAAGCTTTATCTGTATTAATTCATTTAATCATAAACACAGCTCTATGAGATACATATCACTTTACCTAGTTCATAGATAAATTTAAAGAAATTACTCTGCAGGGTCACATAGGTGATTAAATGCAAGGCCACGTTTTCAGCTACAGTTTCCCTGACACCTAAGGTCATGTTTTCAACAATTACTTTTTCACATTTGGAACCTTGAGTCAAGAATGAAGTTCACCTGATACTACTTTTCTCTAACTCTCAACTCTTTATCAGTCCTTTATCAGCTACTGTCTAATAGCTAGTCTAGTCAATATTTTTGCCTAATTGCTTTATAATACTTATCCAGATCCAGTTAGTCTCTTGTCCTGGCAATTTTTTCTTCTTATTTGTGTTTGAAAATCTTTCTCTGGTAATGAAACTCTTTTCCCGACTTCAAAGGCTCCCTCTTACCTGTCTCGTCTCATAGACTGGTTAGGGGTGGGGCTGGGGGGCTTCCCCATAATCATAACTTGGCATTCCATCTCAGTTCTCAAGGGCCCAGTTGCCCAGGTCTGATAATTCAGCCCGTGTGCACTGCAGGCCTGTACATACTCGTTGGTTGCCAGTGGATGGCATCTGTTCTAACTTTGTGCTCAATCACTCATTAAATATTTTGTGTGATATTGCCAAATCTATCATTGCTCCATTGAAAACTTCCAAATCAAGCTCTCCTGCCTTGTTTTATGCAGGTGTTTCTTTTCACAAACCTTTTTTCCTTTGCAAAAGGAAAAAGCAGCTCACCTGCTCACCTGTGCCTATGCAGGTGTCTCTTTTTCCTTTTCCTAATAAACCTATCCTTTTAAAATGTAAAGAAATAATAAAAAATAAATAAAACCTCCCAAATCTCTTTGCTTCTTTCTTCACATTTAGCATTTTTAGTATTTTTTATACTTCATACTCAGTATAATGCTTATTAATGCTTCAGTTTGTCCTAAACCAAGTCTGCCTCTACATTGTGGATTGTGCTGTGAATAATAGTGACACTGTCATTCTGCCACTCATTTAACTTTGAATTAGAGTCCCCTTTGATTCTTCCTCTTCTCTATCACCCTACATCATAAACTACCATATCCTGTGGATTATTTCTCCCGCAAATATATGTCCCCTCTCTCTATTCAGAGATTATTGCTAGCTTAGTTCTAGCACCATCATTTAATGATAGATTAACTGAGATGAGTGGAATGTCTAGGGACAATAAGATTGATCCATGTGGTCTTTATCCCAGTATCCTCATTGCTTAATGGTCTCTGAGTTTCAAGAAATCAAGTCATCCTGCAAAAGCTAATCAAACGGCTGTTTGTATCTGGCTTGCTAACATTCTACTAGAAAAAAAAACAAATCATAAACTAATTCCACAGTCTATATAGGAAAAGACTTCACAGATATAGCTACTGACTAGTATAATTTTGAATGCCCTTGATTGTAATTGACCATACTCTCCTATTTTTTTTCCTCATTTCTATAATCCTAGTTCAGATTTTTTATCACTACTGTTTACTACTGCACAAATTTGCATTAGTTTCTCAGTTCTCTTTGACATTCAATATATCTGACATACTTCAAAGCTCTAATCACACTTTTCCTTTTTAAAAGCAAATGGGCAAATGAATGAAAATCTTTTGAAGCATCTTACAACTTTCACATGATAGTCCACTTCCTTCTCTACTTTAATTTCTAAGGCTTCCCAATGCCACACTTAATGTTCTACAAAATCATGTTGATTTCTTGCCTTAGCCCATTTCCTACATATGATATTTCATTTTTTCTCTTTACAGGCCATTTCACTTCTCTCCCTTAATTAAATCCCTTCAAATCAATTTTATCTTACCCTATTTCTATCTGCCACAAATAATTTTTCTTATCAATGAAATCCTAAAGTAATTTCCTTATATTTCTCTTAAGATAAAGATCGCACCCTTCATTATATCATTATTAATAGCATTGTATTTGTGAGCAGGTGTATTCCTTTTCTGACATCATGATGCCTGGAATGGTCCTGTTCAATGGAAATATAATGAAAAATACATATATATTTATATTTAAAATGTTAGGTAACCATACTGAAAGAAGTAAAAAGAAATGAAAAATTACTGTTAATAATGCATTTTATTTAGCCTCATATATCACAAAATATTATTTCAACATGTAAGCAACATAAAATTATTAACATTTTGTATTATATCCACACATGACTCTTCCCAATCTGGAGTGTGTTTTACACTTATCATCTTTGTTCAGACTAATTCTATTTCAAGTGCTCAGTCACCAAATTTTGCTGTGGCTACTATAGTGGGGATCATAAGTCTAGAAATCCATGACAAACTTTGGTGTAATATAAAGGATCTGTTTTGTAGAAGTACTTGTATCAAATTGCGGCATTGTTACCTACCATATAAGCCTAGACAATTTATTCAACCTCCCTGAGCCTTAGTTTCTTAATGTGTACAAAGTTTTTGCAAGGACTAAAGAAAATTTTATTACACAACATTTTTATTTTTAAAAATCAGTGAGAATATAACCCAAGTTATGCCAATGTCTTGCATGATTCCAGGAATTTATAGTCTGTATGCTATAACTATCTATCACATAAGCCATTATACCATTTGTTTTTCCTTTGTCCCGAATGATAGGCATATATATAATTATTTACAATATATTTATAATACAAAAGAAATTTAGTTTACTAATGTCATATGAGTTTAAAACCTATAATACTTTATTAACTATGCCTGAGACTATCAGGATAAACTCATAAAGATGTTAATTCAACTACATCTGGAAAGAAGTCACTTTCTATTTTATTATCCTGTTATTTTATACTTGCCCTTATTGCTATCTTAAATTGCTTTGTCAGTATTATTTATTCCATATTTTTCTTTCTCTTCCCTTAGAATGTAAACTCCCTGAGACCAAGCATGTTGTCTGCCTTGTTCAGCATTTTATCCCAAATATCATCCACAAGCTTAGCACAAAAGACACTCAGTTAATACTTGCTGGTTCAACAGTTACGTTTTCATATCTGTTTTATTATTCTCTTACATAGGATTTCACTGACATAAGAAGAAAAGTAATGTGTATTCATAAATTGAGTATTTTATCAGGTACAAGAGATGTTTGGCTACAAGAAGGGGAAAAATCCTATTGCTGGCTATCATAATTACATTGGCCACATAATTTGATGGATGGGTAAAAACAGTCTGTTTCCTCAATTCATGGCTATTCAACTGCCAAATAGTTCCTGAAATCTTAATATAGAAATTTAAATGATTAAAAATTTGGGTTGGGAGCAAACAACAACTGAAATGAATATACTGTTTCTTTTCGAATTGAAACATTACAAATGTTTGCAAATAGATAGTTAAGGCAATATTTTGCTGTGAATTCAGTAGGCTCTGATTGTTATTTTCCTTCTATTAGTGAAGGACTTCAGAAATAAGATCTAATACTAATTAAATAATACATGTTTATATTTATGTACAAACTGCCGGTTGTTTAAAAAAGTTTCCTCAACAAGGAAACAGTAAGTTCTAAGAGGTCATTTGGGACATTTTATGGAAGTTCTTCAGCTGTTAACATTATTATTGATAATCTTTTTCAGATAATGAATGGATGATTTGCGCTCTATTTATTCGTGTTAACATTTACTTTGTAAAATATGCTTCTTGCAGGTCTATAAATACTTGCTGGAAAGAACACTGACGACTTCAAAGCAAAATGAAGTTCTTTTTATTGCTTTTAGTCATTGGGCTCTGCAGGGCCCAGTATGACCCACATACCAAACACGGACGGACATCTATTGTCCATCTGTTTGAGTGGCGCTGGGTTGACATTGCTCGTGAGTGTGAACGATACTTAGCTCCCAGAGGATTTGGAGGGGTTCAGGTGGGTATTGTTCATAGTTAAATCATGGGGTTTCTATGCTTATCTAGTAAATGGTATTATGATCTATATCTGAGAAGCTGGGACATTTTATTTCACATGTGCTATGTTAACTAAAACGATTTCCTGAGGAAGAAAAACCTTAGTATTTTTGGCAAGTTTATGTTTTGCTCCTGATAGAATCTCTCTTTAGCAGGACCTTTCAAATGTGCTGCTGTTTTCAAGTGATTGTAAAGAAATATAGGTACATATAATTCTGAAGTAATTTTAGATTATTGATTCGTATCCAGAGTATCCAGTGATCTGAAGAAAGTCACAATTTGACATGATTGTTTTATTTGTAGATCTCTCCACCCAATGAAAATGTTATCATTAATAACCCTTCAAGACCTTGGTGGGAAAGATACCAACCCATTAGCTACAACTTATGTACAAGATCTGGAAATGAAGAAGAATTCAGAGATATGGTGACCAGATGTAACAACGTTGGTGTAAGTGAACTGAACCTACTTTTAAAATATTCTATAATACAGTCTTTCTCCTCTCTTCTTACTTTTGAGCAGAATGTTTTTTCCTATTTTTTATTTTATTTCATATTTTAGCTTGAATTAGAATACATTGTTGTCTAGGTTCATCTTTTTTATAAATATCTGTGTATATGCATTTATTTATTGAAGAAGATAAAAGTTAAAGTATAAAGCCGAACTGACTTCTAACAAAAAATGGCAACTTTTAATTCTTGTAACTATATACATATCCAGGCAACACATTCTTCCTTAGGAATTGAAAATTCCAGTTTTGAAAAAAAGCTGTCACTTTAAAAAAAAAAAAAAGATTGATTGATGTATGCGTAGAACTGGGGTGTAGGCCAGAGGTATAGGGGGTGAGAGGATTCACCAGAGACAGCGTGGGGAGCAAAACAGGTGGATCTACTGAAATACACTGCTGAGGAAAGCAGTGGGTGAGAAAGGAGAGGTCTGTGGGTTATCACCCCTAACTCAGGCCCTAGGGGTGATAGTGCTGAAACTTAACCCTTAGGCTACCAGGAGGCCCTTTGCTGTCACTTTTTTTTTTTAATTTTATTTTTTTACAATTTTAAATACAGGTTTTTTTTTTTTTTTTTTTTTTTTTAAAGATTTATTTTTATTTATTTATACAAGCACTGGGTACAGTCAGAAGCGCGGGAGGGCGAGAGAATTCACCATACACTGCTGAGGGGAGCAGCGGGCGGCAGGAGAGGTCTGCGCGCCATGTGGGACCCTCCTTGAGCAGCCGGGGATCGAACTGGCGCTGCAGAGGCTGCGGGCAGCTTCGCAACCCAGCGCTCAACCGCTGCGTCTTCCCAATCCCTTCCCCCCATAGTGTGTCTCTGGTTCATAGTTATTTGTTCATTTTGACTTTTTCTTTCTTATAGTTATTCTTTTTCCTGGTCCTTTATTTAGGTTTCCTAGATTCCTGCTATGAGTGCTGTCACTTTTGTGTGACTTGTGTCTTCACACTTAACTCCTGAGTCTTCTTCCTTATAACTTACATTGGTGATAGTTATTTCTCTTTGTTGAGGAGCATAATGAGAGACAATATATTACTTAGTGCATACTACATACTTAGTATATATAAAGTAGAAGCTACTTTTGTCTTAGAATGATCCATAGAAATTTCAAAAATCAAATAGTTTTCCTGAATCAATTAATCTTTACCTACCCCCCAAAATATTTTTTTGCAGGTTCTCATAGTTATGGTAGTTTGGGATTCTCTAAATTTATATATCTAGATATTTGACCAAGTCACTAGAATGCATGTAGGTGTTAAGTTCATATCAATGCCTTTTATACTTGACTTTTGATTTTCAAGGGAGGTAAATTTTAAAATAACAAGTATTTTGGAGTATTATCAACTTGCTATTAACTTTAATTAATTTTACAGGGGCCTCCCTGGTGGCGCTAGGGGTTAAGCATAGCACTATGAAGCTATTGCAGCCTCTGCAGCACAAGTTCCATCCCTGGCCAGCCAGGGAGCAGCCCACATGGTGCAGCAGACCTCTCCTGACTCTCCCGCTGCTCCCCTCAGCAGTGTTTTCACTCAGTCTACCTGTTCTGCTCCACACTCTATCTCTGGTGAATCCTCTCACCCTCCACACCTCTGGCCTGTACCCCAGTTCTTGTATGCATAAATAAATCAGTCTTTAAAAAAACATAATTTTACAAATTTCTACTTTTCTGTAAGTCAAACTGAAATGTAAACTTTTCCTTTCAGGTCCATATCTATGTGGATGCCGTAATCAATCATATGTGTGGAAATGGTGTGACTGCAGGAAGGAGCAGTACTTGTGGAAGTTACTTCAACCCTGGAAGTAGGGATTTTCCAGCAGTCCCATACTCTGGTTGGGATTTTAATGATGGTAAATGTAGAACTGGAAGTGGAGACATTGAAAACTACAATGATGCTTATCAGGTAATCTTTTAAAAAGTCATTCAGCTGAATATGCCTTTAATTATCTACATGTAGCTTATAGATTTCCATTTTATATACTTGCTTAGAATCCGTAGGAAAGCAGGATTCCAAGTATGACTGTTTAAAAACATAAACCCATTCAATAGTTAAAACATTTCCCAGTCAATTAAGAAGCTCTGCCACTTATTTTGTATGTTCTCCATTTTTACACTCAAAAATATTTCAAAGTTATGTCCTTACTAGCATGTCAGTATTCCTGGTATCCGATGCAAACAAGACACTATAGAAATATCTAATAATTAATATATGAATGTATAATGAAATGAATACTCAAATAAAGATGATGTTTTGTGTATAAATCACAACATTTTTACCTCAATAGGTCAGGGATTGTCGACTGGTCGGTCTTCTTGACCTTGCATTGGAGAAAGATTATGTGCGTACCAAGGTTGCTGACTATCTGAACCATCTCATTGATATTGGTGTAGCAGGATTCAGAATTGATGCTTCTAAGCATATGTGGCCTGGAGATATGAAGGCAATTTTGGATAAATTGCATAATCTGAACACAAAATGGTTCCCTGAAGGAAGTAAAGCTTTCGTTTATCAGGAGGTATAGCAATATGTGTGTTTATGTATGTGTGTGCATGTAAAGTAATAGCATTAACTGATTAGAAATTTAATGGCAGATTTAATTTAAATACAATTTCTGAGGATTAATTACTGAATCATTTTCATAAAGTAGGGATGATTTATATAGACACCGTTCTTTACCCTTTGATTTGTGGAGAGCACTTCAAACTCTTTGTCATAAGTGGTTTGAAGGGAGTGCAAAAAATAATTTTATTTTGACTGCAAACATTTCTGTATCTATTATCACTCTCAAGAGATGATAAAAGACAATAATATTGTCCTTGTCTTGAGCCAATCTATGTAAATTTAAATCTAGGCTATAGCATTATTAGCTGTTTTTTATGTAGGCAAATTGATTAGTGTTTTTGTACAATAATTTTTTACAAGAAAGGGGTTAATGACAATGATTATGTCTTTGTTTTCCTATTTTCTTGGAAAATTAAATGTGTTAATATTTATCAAGCAATTGGAAATGTTGTAGGACAGATATTAAGTGCTGCATGTACTTGAGAAAAATTTAAGAATCTAGTTAAGGAAAACTGTTTTGGACTTTTTAAATAATACAAATTGTGTTAGGTCAGTTTCTGTATGTTAATTTATTGATTAAAATCCTTCAAAATGCCTTCAAAACTTTAACTGAAGTGGTATGTTCTCCTGTATTTTTACTAGGTGATTGATCTGGGTGGTGAGGCAATTAAAAGCAGTGAATACTTTGGAAATGGCCGTGTGACAGAATTCAAGTATGGTGCGAAACTGGGCAAAGTGCTTCGCAAGTGGGATGGAGAGAAGATGGCTTACCTAAAGTAAATGAAATATGATTTTTCCTTTGAATTATTTCACAGATCTATGTCTCATCCCAATGTATTACCTTCTTATAACCTTGTTTAAATAAGAGTCAAAGATCCAATTACTAATACTGTGTGATAATTTCCTAAATTCTAAGATACAGGAAATTATCTTTATTATTTAGGTTATCTTTATTATTTATAATGTTAATTACAAGGAAGTATATTTACAACCTCAAAGCATATCCTAGATATTTTAATCCTTGTATTATAAAACTATGCTAGATTTGGCTAATGTTTGCATATAATCTGTGATGGTCAGATTAGTAAGTACCTACAACATGGCCATACTGTGCAATTTGCATATATGATATCAAAATTTAATACTAAAATGTTTATAACAATATTAAAATCTTAACAGAATTTCTATTTTATGTAATATGATAGGAATATTGACCCTTCTGAATACCATCTTAATTTTGATGTGCTGAAATCTTTAAAAGGACATCTTTTATAACAAAAATTATATGCATTTAATATGATTGTAGTACAAGTAATTCATAAATGTATGCATGCATAGATTGCATTTGTAGATATGTACCTATGTGTAGTTGGTATTAAAAATTTGACAGAATGACCATTTAATTAAACAGGAGTTCATTTGAGGATATTATACTAAAAAAGTATATATCTAGGTTATTTGAATGCTATTGTAAGATTACATACTTACATAGGTAAGAATGTACATACTTACATATTTAAGTATGTAATATGTATGTGTACTTACATAATGCATGTGTAATTACATAAGTAAAATTATATATATTTTTTCCTATGTGGTTAAACTAGGAGCTGGGGAGAAGGCTGGGGTTTCATGCCTTCCGACAAAGCCCTTGTATTTGTGGATAACCATGACAACCAGCGAGGACATGGAGCTGGTGGAGCTTCTATTCTTACATTCTGGGACCCTAGGTAGGAGACAAAGTACCACCCCCTTTTTTTTAACCTATCTTTGAATGATACTAAATTTTTTCTTTTCTTACATGGTAATATCATTTTGAACCTTTCAGGCTGTACAAAATGGGAGTTGGATTTATGCTCGCTCATCCTTATGGATTTACACGAGTAATGTCAAGCTTCCGTTGGCCAAGACATTTTGAGAACGGGAGAGTAAGTTGATGTTGTCCAAAGACTCATTCTCCCATCCCTCAAATCAGACAGATGTTTCTCTGATTTCTTCTAGAATCCCTTCAATTTGAGAAGCCTACTACTTTGTACGGCAGCTCATTATATTGTCAGTTTTAATATTTAGAAGATGACCCTTGATCTTGAGTCAACTTCCTATAATTTCCTTTAACCTTATTTCTAATGTTGTGAGTTATGAACTATATCCATTTCTCTTTTTTCCATTGCATTTCCACTTTTCCAAGACTTCTGCATGATAAAAACTCTTAAATGTATCCACTTTTCATCACATGGCATTTTAAAATAGAAACTCTTATCCTTACTAGATATATGTGTGTGTGTGTGTGTGTGTGTGTGTGTGTGTGTATATATATATATATATATGCTATCATTATCTTTTTATTGAGGTAACATTGCTTTACAACACAGTGTATGAATCAAAGGTATAGTATTGCATCTCTTTAAATGTATGTTACCACACCACACCCATCACCAAGGGATACAAGTCCTTCTACATAATCCATTGGGTCGCCTAGCTTTCTCTCTTTCTACCTTTCTCCTACTACTTTCTGGTTGGCTCAATTTTATAGTTAGATTTCTAGGGTTTGCATTTGGTTTGGTTTTGTCTGACCTTTTGTTCTCTATATTCCATGTATGAGTCATGTCATATAATACATGCCCTTCTACTTCTAACTTATTTTGCTTGCATTAATCTATTATTACATTTAAAAGTATCAATTAGAAAAAGACAGTATTACAAATTTGGCCAATGTAGTAAGGAATATTGTGATGTGTTGTTTAGTACATTTACCCAAAAGGGAGAATGAAGGAAGCCAATATTTATTTGACAATTATTTTCAAGGCATTTTCACAGATGTGGTTTAACTTTTGTAGCAATGAAGCAATGTCCTCATTTTACAGAAGAAAATAAGTCACAAAGATGTTTATGTGTAATGACTGTCTCTTAGCTAGTAGTAGTAAGGTACTTTGTTTTAATCCTGTTGCTTCTAACACTAAAACCCTTACCAGTTCAAAGGCATTATACCACATACAGTGCTATTAAGAAGCCAGGGTAATCCCTTGGAAAGAAATGAAATGGTAAAAAAAAAAAAAAATCTTATCTTACCTTTGCTTTAAATATGGCACTAGAGAATGAGGATTTGGGGAAAACATGCTGAGTATTTGGCTATAAAAGTACTGAAGGAGTGAACTCTAAATAAAGTTACTGCAGGGGCTCAAGTTGCAGGACATGCTGGGTTTTCATGTACTGGAGGAAAAGGCAAATAGATGTAATGTTAAAAATCTGAGATTTTTCAATTCATTTTTTTTGTTAATTAAGGACATTAATGATTGGATTGGGCCACCAAATGTTAATGGAGTGATTAAAGAAGTTACTATTAATCCAGACACTACTTGTGGCAATGACTGGGTGTGTGAACACCGATGGCGTCAAATCAGGTGGGAATAATGATCTAGAGATATCCTCTAATAATAGACATTCTACTTCTCATTTTATTCTTTAACTCAATTGTTGTTACTGAGGTAAAGTTGGTTTCAAACATTATATGTGATTTAGGGCTATAGGTTCACATTGTACATCTTATTTTAGATTGTTGAAATATTCATCAACTTTTTATATGGTATTTTGTTTTTAGGAACATGGTTATGTTCCGTAATGTAGTTGATGGTCAACCTTTTACAAACTGGTGGGATAATGGCAGCAACCAAGTAGCTTTTGGAAGAGGAAACAAAGGATTTATTGTCTTTAACAATGATGACTGGTAAGTGGTTATAACAGAAGAAAGCGTATTTTATACTAATATGTTCTTGGTTCCTTCTTTCCCCTTCTAGCTCTGAAACTTTCTGGTGTCTGAAAAGTTCTTTAGTTAGTAGATTAAAATATCATAGAGATAAGAAAAGGATCAGAGACAATTGTGATAATGCTTATTCTTTTGATTTCTTTTCTATAAAGTCTTTCTGTCCTGAGTAGAATTGTGTTTTGTTCACCCTTACATATGATGTGCATATACAAGGCACACAAATGACACAAAACAGTTAATATAAAGGTCTTGAAATCATTAAGGACATGCCATACAAGGTGTATTTTTGTAATAATGGAAATATACTGCCTTAGTACTGAAATACCTTTTTTCTAGATATTTTTCTCAACTACTCTTGTATCTAGTTCTTTGGACACTCTTGTATCTAGTTCTTTTTTTACTTCCCTGTCTCTCTGGAAAAAGTAGCATTTTTTTTTTAAAAAAGATTTATTTATTTATTTATTTATACAAGCACTGGGTATAGTCAGAAGCGCAGGAGGGTGAGAGAATTCACCAGAGCCAGAGCAGGGAGCAGAACAGGCAGACTGATGAAGTACACTGCTGAGGGAGCAGCGGGCGGCAGGAGAGGTCTGCGCGCCATGTGGGACCCTGGCCTGGTGGCTGGGGATCTAACAGGCACTGCAGAGGCTGCAGGCAGCTTCGCAACCCAGTGCTCAACCACTGCGCCACCAGGGGAGGCCCACAAGTAGCATTTTTTAAAGCTTACGTATAAAGATTATTTATCTTAGGGTTAATCATTCACCTCTAGAAATTTTGAGTTTTAGTTCTGAGATTTCTCCTTATAGATTTTCCATTGGTGATAATTATATCTTCTGCCTCTAGTATATTGCTTCCCTCCTGCATAGATCTATGCAAGCTGTTTCAACGTCTCAGTTGAAGGCCAACTTCCACTCCTATGCACCTCATTCTATGCCAGATTATGATTTACTATCAAAAAATAAATCAAATATACCACTTTCCTTACGAAAGAACCCATGGCTTGTTCTTTAAAGTCTGTCTTTTGTGGATGGGAGAACCATAATAAATGTATGAGGCAGCTTTATATTTTAAACCAAATGCTTCTTCACAAAATTGCTAGATTATGTTTATCTCCAGCCCAAATTCATTTTAGCCTTTTGAAAGAAAGGGTTTTTTAAAGAAATAATGAAATTTCAATTATTGAAAGTAATTGATATTTACTTCAGTTTGGATGAGGACAAACTTAAAATATTTGTGTTCATCATAGGAGTACTTTTATCTAAGGGTAACTAACAATCCACTCAAATCTTCACTGATATTCCTTAGCCTCATTTTTTGGTAATATTTATGATTGATAAGGGAATTGCTAAATCTTCTGTAAGATTACTTTTGGTTCTTAGAAAACTATATATCCACTGGAGACATCTTTGTGTTTTGATTTTCTTCACACTGAGCCCATGATTGTTTAACATTCCACAGTACAAAGTTGTTTGTTTTAAGATAGCATGTATGCTTGTTTTTCTTGTTGTTGAATTCAGGTTAATTTTAAATTTTATTTTGCAGGCCTTTGTCTTTAACTTTGCAAACTGGTCTTCCTGCTGGCACATATTGTGATGTCATTTCTGGAGATAAAATCGATGGCCAATGCACAGGATTTAAAATCTATGTTTCTGGTGATGGCAACGCTCACTTTTCTATTAGTAACACTGCTGAAGATCCATTTGTTGCAATTCACATTGAATCTAAATTGTAAAATGTGAATTAAATACATATGCCCAGAGAAATAACCAAATGTACTTCCTCTCTTGTGTATATGTTGGTTCTTACAATGCAATAATTTTTGGTACAAGCTGTAAGTAATCAACTTGAAAATCCCAGAAAAGCATGGAATCATATGTAGTTATACAATAATAACTACAGTCAACATTTGTTTATATTGTAGAAGACTCACATTAGCCTTTTTTGTCAGAGGAACTTCTAAGAGAGCTCAGGGAGTTATATTGGCAAGTGATATTTGTTGCCATTAACACCATTAATCCAGCTGTGTGCTAATTCACATATATATTTCTTCTCTAGTGTATTTCTAACAACTAGTTAGAAATAACTGATTTATTGATAATTCCTAAACAAATTTATAACATTAGAGTAGCATGAAGACATTTTTACTCTTATTAAATTAAAAATTTAAAGCACTCTAAATTTCAGAGTCTACATTTTTCAAGTATACAGTGTTCACAGGAATTGTCTAGTGTCTCTATATTCTTTTCTCTTTTTTTTTTTTTTCTCTAATGGCTTTAACTTGATCTTGTCGAATGGCTTTTTCTTCTATCTCGTAAGTCCCTTTATAGATGGATGTTGACTTAGGGCTTTCATGACATCATAGAGTCTGGATTTTCTACCTTATACGCTATTATTTTTCCTTCACTTTGACTTTATATATGGAATTCAATAAGACTCATCTAGTTCTTCTTATAACTGTCATGTGTTTTTCTTATTCTTGAGTGAAAAAACAGAAGCCCAAATGTGGAAACTTATTTTCCCATACAAATATATCTACAGTTACCCCATCATTTTTTTTACTTTCCCCCTTTCATGACGAAGACAGTCTACCCAATGGCATTCCCTCTGTTTGTGCTAATACCAATCATTCTATTCTCTACCTTGCAGTCAAACTGATCTTTTCAAACCCGAAAATGACTACAATCACCACCTTTCCAAACTCTTATCAATAGACTACCATTAGCGTAAGAGGCTGAAATTCTTAACAGACCTATAACAAGACCTATCTACCTCTAAAGTCCTCACCTCACAAACTTGCTAATATTCTAGTTATTCAGACTCACCAAGCTTCTTTTATGTCCTCAAGTTCAACTCAAGGAACAATCTGTTTTTTCTATTTGAAATGTTCTTTTCTCACCTCAGTGCAAAGGTCACTTCTACAATACATTGGCTTTTATCAGGATTAGGGCAATACTCTTATTGCTATCATGACTTTCTATACTCATCACTCCTCATAATATTAGGGATGACATCTATTTTTCTCACTATTGAATCATTAGCCTCACACAGTGTCTGGCACATTTTATGTAAGAGCTCAAATAACTTATGAAATAAGTGAGATAGTGAAAAGAAGATAAGCAAAGTATATCAATTTTAGAGGAAAAATAGTGTGTGTATATATATATATATATATATATATATATACACACACACACACACACACAAAATAGTATATATATATACTAGAAATACTATACTATTATATATATATATACACTAAAAATAGTATATATGTGTGTATATATATTATATATATTATATATATATTAGCGTATGTGTATATGTGCATATATATATATATATATATATATATATATAGCTTTGGAATAGGGATATTCTTCTTATTCTCTCTATAGTTGTTCCCAAGTTTAACGAGTTCCTGATTAACCCTGATTTATAGCTTGTGTCATAGGATCTGAAATGAAGCAGAAAATATATTTGACAAAATTCAGCAACCTTTCATGATAAAAATCTCTAAAAATTAGGTGTAGAAGGAAAGCACCTCAGCATAGTAAAGGTGATAAGTCCACAGCTGTCACAATCAATAGAGAAAAGCTGAAAACTCATATTTTATTCAGAAACAAGTCAAGGATGCCCACTCTCACTACTGCTACTTAAGTAAGGACTAAAAAATCCTAGCCAGAACAACTAGGCAGCAAATAGAAATAAAATATCCAAATCAGAAAAGAAGAATTAAAATTGTCTGTTAGCTGAAAACAAATCTATTATATAGAAATTCATAAAGGCTTCATGAAATACTATTAGCACTAATAAAAAATCCTGTAAAATTTAAGAATATTAAACCAACATGCAAAAATCAGTAGTTTCTATTCACTAACAATAGCAACAATAACAAAAAGCACTGGGAAGGGAAAAGAAGAAAGCAATCACATTTACAGTAATGTCAAAACAATAGACCACTTAGGAATAAGTTTAACTAAGGAAGTAAAAGACCGGTACACTGAAAACTGTAAGACAATGAAGAAAGAAATTGAAGAAGCCATAAGTTAATGGAAAGATAGCCCGTGCTTTTAGATTGGAAGAATTATTATTTTTAAAATGTTTATACTACTGAAAGTAATATATAGATTCCATGCGGTTCCTATTAGAATTCCAATGGAATTTTTCAATTGTAGATTTCTACAATTATCGCTGAACACAAAAGTCCTCTAATAGCCAAAGTGATCAGAGAAAGACAGAGAAAACTATAGGTATCATACTTCCTGTGCAGTCAACTAATCTTGGATGAGAGTGCCAAAAACACAAAGTAGAAAAGGATAGACTTTTTAATAAATGGCTCTGGGATAACTAGAAATAAACATGCAAAAGAATGAAACTGGACCATTTATCTTACAATACTTGCAAAATTAAATCAAGATGGATTACAGACTTAGCTATGGAACCTAGAACCTTCAGACTCTGAAAAGAAAATATAGGAAAATGCTGCATAAGATTTTTTTTTAAACATTTTTTTTTTTATAGAGGCATGTTTTATTTATTTATTTGTTTGTTTGTTTGTTTTGTTTATACATGCACTGGGTACAGTCAGAACCGCGGGGGGGGGGGTGAGAGAATTCACCAGAGCCAGAGCGGGGAGCAGAACAGGCAGAAGGACCGAAGTACACTGCTGAGGGGAGCAGTGGGCGGCAGGAGAGTTCTGCGCGCCATGTGGGACCCTCCTCTGGTGGCTGGGGTGCAGCCGGGGATCGAACTGGCGCCGCAGAGGCCGCGGGCACCTTCGCAACCCAGCGCTCAACCGCTGCGCCACTGGGGAGGCCCTACATAAGATTTAATGGATGTGATGCCAAAAGCAGGGGAAAAAATTAAAAAGATAAACAAGTAGGACTACAGCAAACTGAATAGCTCCTGCACAGCAAGGAAACAGATATTAAATGTCAAGGCAACCTACAGAATGGTAGAAATTATCTGCAAACTATGTATGTGATAAGGGTTAGAGCAAAAATATAGGGGAACACTTGCAACTCAGTAGCTAAAAACACAAACAACTTAATTAAAAGTGGAAAGTGAAACTGAATAAACATTTTTTCCAAAAAGTCATACAAATTGGCAATAGTTACATAAATAGGTACATTAAAATTTGCTCAAGATCAATTATTATCAAGGGAATATGTAGCAGTGCAAATCAAACCACAATAAATGATCACCTCACATGTATTAGATGTCTATTATCAAAAAGACAAGAGATAACCAATGTTGTCAAGAACGTGGAAAATGGGAGCCATGTACACTATGATGAGAATATAAATTGTTACAGACATTATGGAAAAGAGCAAAGGAGTTCCTAAAAAAAATAAAAAGAAAAATAGAACTATGATATTATCCAGCAATGAATATAGGTATCTTGAATTGATATCTGCATTTCTTCTAGGATTACTTGCATTAATCAAGATGTAGAAATAATCTGACACCTGAAGAATGAATATAGAAAATATGGTACATAAATACAGTGAAATATTATTCAGCCATACATGAGAAGGAAATTCTGCCATTTATAAGAATATGTGTGAACTTGGAGGATGTTAAGTTAAATAATCAAGACAGGAAGGATGAAAAAATAATATATGGTGTCACATAGCATTGAAAAAAAATAATAAAGCTCATAGAAAGAGAAAGTAGAAAATTGATTATCAGAGTGAGCTGAATAGGAAATCGGAATGGGAAATATGACAAAGGTATGCATTTGATAAGATGAATACATTCTGAGGATTTAAAGCATAGAATGGTGATTATCATTAATATGGAAAATGTACATTTGAAATTTGATGAGAATAGATCTTGAAAATTCTAACCAAAAAGAAAAAAAGGGCCTCCACAGTAGCGCAGCAGATTGAACATAGCACTATGAAGCTGTCCGCAGCCTCTGCTGCATGGGCTTGATTCCCAGCCGGCCAGGGAGATATGCACATGGCGTGGCAGACCTCTCCTGTCTTACCCGCTGCTCCCCTCAGCAGTGTATTTCAGTCAGTCTGCCTGTTCTGCTCCCCGCTCTGTCTCTGGTGAATCCTCTCACCCTCCCGTGCCTCTGGCCTGTACCCCAACTTTTGTATAAATAAATAAATAAATCATTTTAAAAAAAGAAAAAAAGGCTTAACTAGATGACATGATGGATGTATTATTTAATTTGATCTTTGTAATCATTTAGCAATATATGTGAATATCAAATCATCACACTGACTTTTTAAATATCTACAGTTTTCTTTGTCAACTATTCTTCAATAAAGCTGGAGGGAAAATCATGTGAAAGTCATGTAGTTTGGCAAAACCCCCTCATGTTTTCAAGATTTTAAGCCCTAAGAGTCATCAATTTTTAGTAAGCTATGCCTCTAATATGTCAAACAACTACTCTTAAGACTGGGAATATGATGCCACACTGGTATGAATACAATAAATTTGACATCCCTATATTTACTATGTTCTTAGAACTTTGTAATACTTTTTCATGTGTAATAACATGTTAACTGTTTCTTCCTGTAAATGTTTCATTTTATATGTAGGAGTAACTTTCTCTGTAAAATAATGTCATTTTTCTTCTCATGGAGTGAAAATAAGTGTTGAAAAGTTATTATTATCATGATAAGAGTTTCACCTGCATGTCAGAACTGAACCAACAAGCATTACCATAGAATACGACTGATCACACGAATGACTTAGACAGTAGCTCAGTAACTACCCAGGGTAATCTCAATATTCGGATTATTAT